TCCGCACGAATGCTTCTAAGCTTTGCAAAGTTCTCGTTATCTGCGAAGGTGCTTACTGGAGTTTTAATTGTGGAGGTGTCGTTTTCACGTGTTTGTGGTGCAACAGGTTTAAATCCCGGGATCACAAGACATGGCTTGTCCGTTATGTGGATACACTAATTTGCTTATAAAAACCCGCTAAATTCGAAGGGCCTGTCCCGGGTTATTCCTCTGCTAGGAACATCGAAATGGTCACGAATTTCTATTCACCAATGACAAAGCGATAAAGTAGATTTTTCAAATATCGAAAGCCAAAATAGATGGAGAACGCATCTCACTCAAATGTTATATGGTTTTGGAGATTTTACCAACTTACCTTTTTGTAAATATAAAGATGTAACAAGAATTTAGTTATACTAGTTTCTTGTTTTTAGTTTTTTTACTTCTAAACATGTTTAAAATCTTAGACCAAAAGAAAGAAAGATTTTTTTTTTAAATTCAAATAATTTATTTCACACCGACGTAAATATACACAATTATACTATATGGTGTACTTACATACTACTTATATAATTGTTGTTTCTAATTATGCATAATGTTATGTGTGTGAAATCCCGTTCCACTCGTGGGGCATGGGGCGAACCTATCTTGTGTCTGTGCCCTGCTTGACCAAAACAATTTTTTGTTTCTCTGGGATTTAGACCTCTCGCGCTTAACGCAATGCTAGGCTATACGTTTAAAACATTTCGCTACAGAGAAGAGAATATATCATTTTAATAGCCGTAAAGTCAATCAATTAAATTTAAAACATAAGACGCATTAATTTAGTTAGTCAAACTACAAATGGAGATAAAAATGTTATAAAATTGTAAAATTTAGAACAATGCACTCCGACTGTTGACGTTTAACTTTCATTTTAAAATAGGCAAGTAAGCGATTCAATTGTTGAAAGATGTCGTACTACGTTGTTGAAACGTGATATTTCTAAAGTAAAGTGGTAATATTAACCTATTACATACTAGCTGCGTCAGCGACTTCGTCCGCGTAGAGTAATTGTTTTTTGGCATCCAAATTTGTTTTTTCAAATCTCTTCATCTTTATAAATTTAAGCTTCGCACAACATCAGTCGCGGCCCGTCGTTCTGGCAAGTTAGTCTTAAGAAATAGACTTATAGCGTCGTGGATAATTGCTTAGATCATTAAAAAAGGAATCATTATTTTATAAATTTTTTCGCATTTCCCGCTGCTCCTTCGCTCCTATTAGTCACAGCGCGATGTTTTACAGCGATATATATGTATCGCCTTCTATGATAAATGTGCTATCTAACACAAAACGAATTTTTCAATTCGAATTAGTAGTTCCTGTGATTAGCGCGTTCAAACAAACAAACTCTTCAGCTTTATATATTAGTATAGATAGGCAACAAATCATTGTTTATTCACATTGATAATAAAAATATACTATAATATATATATCCAAATATTAATTCTAATAAGTATAATAAAAAATACATAGTCTTATCGATTTAAAACTCATAATAAATCATTGAATCTATTTTTAATCACGACCCGAGATTGCAATCACCACGGACTCGGCGGTTTTATGAAATGTTTGTTTTGCGTACTCCCTTGGAATGAGTGCTTATTTGCGTCTGTTCAAATAATTCGTGCGTTGTATTTAAATTCACTCTGTGCTTCCGTTATTGCATTGTTGTTATATCTGTGTTCGATGATCCGTATTTGGATGACATATTAATCTGTATAGGGCCAATATTTAGTGTATTTTTAAGTAAAATTATCGTTTAATTTATACTTTGGAACTGTCTGTAGTTTCCGCGAGTAGCACGCATTTAAGTAAAACGCTTTTAACGGTTTAAAACGCGAAATGTACCATAGTCACTGCTACAACGCATTCGAAACGCCAAGCCTAAATTTAAATAAATAATAACTAACATACCTCGCGTAATTAATTTTTTTTGAAATTATTTTGAACTATAACCTAATGTTTAGGATGCCTTGCAACAGCCGTGGTCACGGGGTAACATCGAATCATGTTAAAAATAATTTGTAAACAACTTTAACTATTATATTTCGCATTTTAAACTGTTAAAAATGTTTTATTTAAATAGCAATTTGGAGTTAAGATATCATTGTCTTTATTTTGTATTGCTTTCGGCGGCGTAGATATATCATGTGCAACCGTTGATTTGTACCGCTGCATTAAACGCTAAATTTAAATTTTACGCAACACGTTGATCTATTCGTGACTTATATAGGCCAAATTAAAATCTCTGTGATGTCCGTTTTTGTGTTAGGAAAACAGTTTCCTTCCTGTTCTAATGTATGTTAAATGCTTGGAAAGACGAATTTATGGGTTAGACAATCGGTTCTCGCTATTCATAGACTGAGATGTAGGATAGGCAACGTACTGTTACCGACAATAATTGGATTTGTTGCGAATCGTAGTTTACGCGAGTTCTACACATTTAAACGACGTTGACGGTTTAAAACGTGACGTATGTTAGTTAAACTTGTTTACAGGTTATTTTGAAGTGCAGCCCGACGTTTCGGCGTTTTTAAAATATCGCTGTTTTATTTAAACAGTCGTTTGCGTCTGTACTTGTCCTACTTAATTCTAATGGTTGACGAATCTTGGCATTGCAAGTATGGAAAGGTGGTGTAAATAAGCTAATGAACTAAATACTTCTTATACCTACAATAAAATATAATTTACGTTTTTACAAACTAGCATATCAGTTTAGCTTACCGACGAACTCAGCGTTACTTCTTTATGAAACAGGGGGAAAATTTTAATTATAACTATCTATATGTAAATGGTTTATATGTTGCCTGGCATTGCGCTTAACGCGAGACGTCTTGGGCTCGAATCCCGGGAAAACAATAAATAGTTTCGGTCGGGCAAGGCATAGAATGAAATGGTGATGATGCCCAACGGGAGAAAACTGGATTTATTAAGCATTATGTCTAACTTCACTAAATTTAATGTAAAAGCTTGGATATTATTAGTTAGTAGCTGTGTCAGCGACTTCGTCCGCTATTTTGAGCTACAAAATCTGTTTTTCAACAAACCTCCTGTTCAAGTCTATAAATTTAAGCGTCCCGTCGTTCTTGCGAATGATACTTAAAAGATAGACATAGGTATACTTTAGCGAACAATTTTTAGACCACTTAAAGAGATATGCTTTCATACATATTTTTTGGATATCCGTTTTCGTAGCGTACGTAACTGTGATCCACATTCCGTATATTTTACATTTCCCGCTATTTCTTCGCTCCTTTAAGTCGCATCGCGATGTTTTATAGCAAGCTTTTCCCGATAAATGCTCTAAACAACACAAAAATAATAGTTCCTGAGATTAACTTGTCTAGATTCAATGTAAAGGCTTGGATATTATTTATTAGTTACTTATCTTTGTATTCACTATATCAAATTAGTATAATTTCTAGTTCTACGTAATACAAGATCAGAGACTAATTGAATCAAGCGCCAAATTTGCGCAAATAAACATTGTTACATCTATATTTGCGTCGTAAAACGCATTCCTTGTAACTGCAGAGTATCAAATAATACGCTATAAAAATTCGTAGCTGGCACGTTTTATACTGCACAAATAGAGCGATTAAAAACATTTATAGGAGTCTAAAGTACCTAGACTTATCTTTCCACCATAGGGTTGCTGTCTGCTGGTTGTCATAAAAAGATGTCATACTTATTAAAATAAAACACCGTAATGGTTTAAAACGCAATATATTAGTTAAACTTATTTAAAAATGATTTTTAACTTCGGCCCGACGTTTCGGATGCTTTACAGCAGCCGGGGTCATGGGGAGACAGTATTTAAGATGTCATACATTAAGTGGCTAAGGCTATTTATATCTTGTAGTTTGATTTGAATTATCCAGCTCGTATCAATTGCGCTGGTAGAAAGAATGCTACGAAAGTCTAACATGTCATGCAAAACAAATATAAGTATATCTCGTTTCCCCCGGCGAACACAGTAGTAATGTATTGTTTCCCCGGAATTATAACCCAGGACCTTTGGCGCTTTTATGTTTGACCACAAGTTTAAACATTTGGCTACATAAGCATAATAATGTGACATTTGACCGCCTCTGTAGCGAGTAGTAGATTACATCAGCGGCCGGCAAGAGAGGCATGAGGAAAAAAACTTAATGCCTCGTCATCCATCGTTCGCCCTTCAATGTCTAATCAAGTAATATTCAAAACTTTAAAACCAATGACAAAGTTGTCGACGAACTATGTAACAACAATCCTTTTTACGCGCCTAAGTATTTTTTCACTAAACAGCTTTCTATGTGCCAGTTCGAAAATTAAATGACACCTTTGATAAGTTACCTCTTTGGTCGCCATGTTGCGGAGTTGAAGATCGCTCCATTTTTAAATTACACGACAAGTACGGTTTTACATAATTATTTATTTGTCCGCTAAACACGACAGATATGGATTTTCATACAACTATTGCCGGCCGCTGCTCGACCAGTACAGCAGGTTCGATTCATCTCGAAGAATGTCAAAAAAATGTTCAAATTTCTAAGGTTGTTTGAGAAATATACATTTTTTATTTATATTTACCTTGCTAAGAAAATATTCATTGTTCAATGCGACTGAATAAGGCAGTCCATATATTTGAATCATCATCATCATTGTCAGCCCGTTTGGGTCCACAGCTGGACGTAGGCCTCTCCCAAAGCATGCCACTCGGCCTTCTCTTGAGCTCTATTTATCCATTTGCTGCCGGCCACTTTCTTCAGGTCATCTGTCCACCGTGCTGTAGGTCGTCCTACACTGCGGTTGCCTCATCGATATATTTGAATACTTTAATATTAATATTTTTCCGTATATAAATAAAAAATCGATTATAGATTTAAACTTGAACAGCACCGAACGCTGTGGATGCCGGTCCAAGTCATGGCCGTGTCGTATTTTTTTTTTATAATCGAGTTTTAATTTATATAGTTTTTTTTTTCTTTTTTTAATAGGAGCCGTGCGGGAGCGACATTGGACGGCCGCTTCAGATCATCGGTGGATGCAAACGGCGTTCGACTGACCGTCTCCGCTGCTCAGATTGGTGATAGCGGCGTATACACCCTACAAGTACGATCTTTAAGGTTTACCAGAGAAGATCAGGGTATTAGGGACCATCGTCTCTAATTGTAACTTTGTAGATTGATCGAATGTTTTACACATGTTTCTGCTTCAAAATATCTCTGAATGTCCAATGCAAGGCAAACGCCTTTATTGAATTACAATTATTACCTTTTGCGTGTTATATTATTTTTGACCTCTTCTGGAAATGTAGACATTAAATAGGCGGTAAGAATATCGAAATTCCGTTCGGGTCACGAACCGCCGTAGACAGACAAAAAGCCACAGATGAAGAAGCTGTCAACGGAATTTATAAATCGCTAAAATAGGTCGGCAGCGTCCCTTTGAGATGTTGTGTCGCTCGGATATGTCACCTTCTTGCCCTACCCCATTTTTGTCTGTCCTCCACATGATATAGTATGTGATATACCTCAGCCTATAGCTTGTAAACAAGATGCGATGTCGACCTATTTGGGCTTTGGATATTCGGAAATCCACAGGCTGAAACCGAAACGCGACTAAGCTTCGCGGCTTTTTCATCTGTGGACTGTGGTTGGTGACCTGGACGGAATTTCTATATTTCTACCACTCATTTAATATCCAGATTTCCAGACGAAGTCCAGCATGTTTCTGAAAAATTAAAAACATGTTGGACCTGGTGGGGATCGAACCCACGGCCCGTTGATCGTTAGCCATGCGATGGTACCATTAGAGCAACGAGCGCGGCAATCGCGTTAACAAAAGATTAGTTTAGGTTGGCTGATAATACCATTTGTATCGTCTATTCATCTGTTATAGGCAAGCAATGCTGCCGGCAAGGATACGACCCGGGTCTCGCTGGAGGTTTCCCCGGATGAGGCGCCCACGGGCGAGGACCCGCCGACCTTCCTACGGCGCCTGCAGGACCTCACCGTGAAGGTCGGCACACGGACCAGATTCCTTGTAGAGATCCTCAGTTCCACGGAGTGCAAGGTTAGTGCGGACCACCTAGAGCATTTATTGTTAAACTTTTTTAAAAAATATTTTAACTACGGCCCGACGTCTCCCCGTGACCGCGGCTGTGTTTAACTGCAATTTTGTCATATTTATTATTTCATAGTCTAAAAATGCTAATCCATGAGAGCACAGGGACCGAAAATTGTTAACATAATTCTTACACAAATAATAGTATAAACTCATTTTCGCCCAAGTTAATTAAAAAGTAAAAGTTAAATCCCGTTTCCCCCTCGTGGGGTATGGGGCGAACACATTTCTGTGTCCGTTTCACTGATCCGTTCTTATGTGCTCCGCCTGGCGGAAGAAAAAATCTTTCACTGAGATTGGAACCCAGGGCCTCTCGCGCTTAACGCGATGCCAAGCAATACATTTAACCATTTGACTACAGAGGCGGTCCTAAGTTAATTGCGCATTTTCATTTTCCTCCTTTGAAAATCTTTTTTTTATTATTATGGAACTCTTCCTCTAGCAGCCTCATATATCTTTTTATATAATTGTCCTCTTAAGGTCCCAATAAACATGAACATACCTTATTAATAATCTAGCTATTCTACAAATGTTCTTGTATAAGTTTATATAAAAGGTTCTGCAATTGGAGGCAACATTATTTATATTTCATTAAACACCTTACATCGCGATCCGTTCGACCTGGCTTTTGGTGTTAGTCAGAACATATGTTCATTACTGTTCAACGATACATCTTTTTGACGTCCGAACCAATGTGGATTTATCTATTGCGTGAAGTCACTCGTTGTTTTATATCATGACGTATTTTGGCTACGATCTAGTACGAGATTTTGTTGATATTTGATGTACGACAAATTAAATTTAGCTAATAATGAAACTAAATAAAATTTTCGTTGACATACCTTACTCTGTAAATTTTGATGTATTAATAATCCTACAACCAATAATGACCCCACGAGGAGTAATAAAGACGCGTTGAATAAAATACAAAACAATATTTTAAATGAAACACTTTTGACGGTTTAAAACGCGACATATACTAGAACTCCAACTCAAACTATTTATTTCACAAGACAGAATAAATAACTACTAGATGACTTAATTAATACTGTCTGAAGTTTACGCGAGTAGTACATTTAAATAAAACACTAATTTGAAAATCATATTAACAACGCTTATGCTCCGTAGCATCCGAAACGTCGGGCCATAATAATTTTAAAATAAGTTTAACTAATATATATCGCGTTTTAAACCGTTAAAATGTTTTATTTAAATGAGTAAGAGGATTGTAAATAATCTTCTGTACTCATTGACAAATATTGGAAGACCTTGAACGGCGGCGGAATTTAAGCGTAGCACGTCGTTACATAATTCTTCTATTTTAAAACTCCGCCGTAGGAGTCGCATTGTTTATGATGTTTTCAGTTCGCTATAACTAACGACTTTGTACTATTGCATAGTTTATCTCTTACTATACTCAAACTCAAACCGAAGAGTGCTTGTGAAATGGAGGAACTCACTCGGCATTTGCCTTACCACCCAAGAGTAGAGGAGAATTTGTGTAATATATACCAAACAGCACGAAACGCTGGGATGCCGGTTCTAGTCCGGATTTGTATCGTAAATTAGTTTCGATTATTCATTGATATCATGCCATCTGTACCGTAGACTAACGACAAACCTAATATACCTAAACTATTTAAAAACACTTAAACGGTTCAGAACGTGATATATATCAGTGAAACTTATTTGAAAATGTTTAATCTACGGCCCGACGTTTCGGATGCTTTGCAGCAGCCGTGGTCAGATAAGAATAATCTAATTTTGTTTTTAATTAAACAACGCTGCTGCAGCTTTAACAGCTTCATCACAACAGACCCCCGCGGCTGCGGGAAAATTTCAAGTTTTAATCCGTTTAATAATACTCTGTCCTTATTCCAGGTAACATGGTACCGTAATGAGCGTCGCCTTTTGGAGGCTGAGAGGATCGCGCTGGTTCGCGACGGCAACTTTTGGTGCGCAGATGTCGCCACTGTCAGTGTTGATGATGCTGGGCGCTGGACGTGTACCGCGGAGAATCTTGGAGGACGAGCCAGCTGTTCCGCCCATCTCAATGTTTTAGGTAGCATTAAAAATAAGTCGGATGATGTTTAGTTACTTGATCGCAATCAATTTATCATTTTTCTGGAACATGTTTTACTTCGTCTAGAAAAATCTGGACATTAAATCAGACTTCTGATGACGTGCCCTGCCCGACTAATATCCCCGGGATTCGAACCAAGGACATCTCGCGCTAAACGCAATGCTAGGCAACACTTTCACCATTTAGCTACAGAAGCGGTCAAATGTGGTAATCACGTTTTGGTTTCAGTATGTGGATTTCCGAATATCCAAAGCCAAAATAGGACGACACCGCATCTTGTTTAGAAATATTATTGGAACTGTTTTTGTATTTCTGTAAAGGCCCATTTTTGCAAAAACATCAGTTAAGCGCGATTTTTTTAATGGACAGGCGAGCGTTTGACCTGGACTTGATCCCCACAGATGACCAATGGATCATTAGCCATACCTCGTCGTTGAACCCGATTTTCTTACTCAATGTTATACAACTATCATCATATCATTTTGCAGTTCCAAAAGCGTACAAAAGACCAGAATTTGTGGAGGAATTACGCGCCATTTTAACAGAGCAAGGAACTGTCTCCTTGGAGTGCAAAGTCGTGGGGGTTCCTACCCCGGTTCTGAGATGGTTCAAGGTCAGTCATTTTGGTCTAATAACACAAACAGCAAAAGTTGCTTCAAGAACTAATCTAAAGTTTAAATATGTAAATAAGGAATTTAGGAAAATGTCAAGGTAAAACTTTGCAGACAACATCGTTAATTTTACTAAACTCGTATTAAACAACAATACTAAATGCACTAAAAGTAAAGTTCAAGTATATAAATAAAATTAATGTAAGGGTTAATATTAATAAATAAAGGTTTTCTAAAAGAGATGCATTGTTTTTTTTGGTTAAAAGTGAAATTACGATATTGTTCATATTGGAAAACAAAATAAATACAGCGCACTTGTTTAGATGTAACATGGCTAGGGTATTTCACCTGAGATAAAAAAAAAACTATTTACATCAAAAATATTTTACGACGCAGTAGCTCAATTGGTGAAAGCACAGTACGAAACGCACAGTAGGTGCTAGTTCAAATCCGGCTCGTGTCGTCAAATATTTTCAATCTTGGGCGTTTTTTTTTTAATATTGTTATAATTATACAGGACAGTAGAGAAATTAAGGCGGGCGATGTGTTCGCGTTAACTGCGAATGCAGACGACCCGACATCGCTCGGTACATACACTTGCGAAGCGATCAACTGTATGGGTAGAGCCTACTCCTCTTCCAAGGTTCATGTTATCGGTCGTTCTAAAGAGGGTTCTGCTAGACCTAGTTCTGGGTAAGTTAACTTGGGAATGTCACGAATGCGAAGCTTTGTTAACTGTTAGGTCTAAATGACTTGTTTTTGTGTAAATAAGTTAGCACATTGGAGTAATTCATATGCAAAACTAAACATTTTTTTTGTATATTTTCCCGGTAAGTACCTGGTCCGAAAATGTAGAGATTAAATACCGCCTGTAGTTTACGCGAGTACTACACACTTTAATGGTGTAAAATGCTAAATATATTAGTTAAACTTATTTGGAAATATTTTGACTATGGCCCGACGTTTCGGATGATCTGCAGGAGCCGTGGTCTCGTCGTGACCAACAATATGTCGGGCCATTTAGGTTAACTATTATATTTCGCGTTAAAACCGTTAAAAGGTGTTTTATTTAAATATTAAACTTTTTTTAAGGGCCTAATAAATTTGTAGTTATTGTTTTAATGATTTTTGCAGGGGCCTGACACCCGATCCTCCGCCGATATTCACCAAGGAATTAGAAGATCAATTTGTTAGAATATGTGACCCGTTGACCCTGAGTTGTCACATCGTAGTCCCACCCTGGCCCAGAAGTACGGTTTGGTACAACAAAGAAGGAAAAATTGATCCCAGTACAAAGTGAGCACATAAAAATGAAAATCATTTTTAAATAGTAACACAAATAACTACAATTTATAATACTGAAGGTTTGTTTGTTTAAATACGCTAATCGAAAAAACTACTGGTCCGTATTGAAAAAATGCTTTTCATGTTGGTTGCGTTGCATTACACTGCGAAGAAACAGAAGAAAATGTGATTAAAAATGGGCAAAAATCATTTACTTTTGGGAGAGTCAAAGGAAAAATATGTATAAAAGGCTCCTCTTAAAGGACGCGGACGATCTATTAGGTAACTGCTATAATTTATAAAGCGGAGAAGGTTGTTTGCAAAAATAAATAAGATGCCCAGAATTACTATGCTACGCGAACAAAGTCGCGAGCACAGCTTGTTTATCTATAAAATTGTGTTTGTTTGAGATTTAATAACTTCTTTAAGGTACCATATATTGGAGGACGGTGTCGGAGGCTATATGGTGGAAATATTTGGAGCCGAATGGGCTGACGAGGGGGGAGTGGAAGTGTGTGGCTACAAGTGCGGGCGGCAGGGTAGGCATATCTACCTGTAATGTCACAATGGACGGTAAGATCACATACATCTTTTTCATAAAATTATTTACAACACAGCCCCCGACCAAAGTAATTTGTTACATAAATTATTATATTATAAACAACTCATTCACTTTAGTTACTGGTTCATTTTCAGTACCCAAGAATTATAGAAAGCCTCGCTTTATGGAAAACCTTCAAGCAGTATTGACGGAAGAGGGGTTGGTGTCGTTCGAATGCAAGGTCGTTGGCTTCCCAACTCCAGTTCTTAGTTGGTTCAAAGATGGCCAAGAACTGAAACCAGGAGACGTGTACCAATTGACGGGAACTAACTCCCTGGGCTCCTACTGTTGCATAGCTAAGAATTGCATGGGTCACGCGAGCAGTTCCGCAGAGTTGACCGTTGAGGACATTCAAAATCAATTGAATGAAGAGGAGAAATTACAGCTGTTCTCCAAGAATCAAGCTCCTAAGTTCCTACAGGGCCTGAAAAGTGTGGAAGTGAAAATCGATGAGCCATTCCGCTTTACAATAAAAGGTAATCTATACTAATATATAAAGCTGAAGAGTTTGTTTGTTTAGTGTCTGTAGTGTAGTAGTTTGTTTGTTTGAACGCGTTAATGTCAGGAATTACTGGTTCAAATTGAAAAATTATTGTGTTGGTTAGAACGTTTATCGAGGATATATAGCTATTACACATCGGGAAATATGAAAAAAATGTATGTCTATCTTTTAAGATTAACTTTCAAGAACGACGGGACGCGGACGACGTCGTAGGTAACAGTTTAAATTTATAGAGTTGAACATGAGGTTTGCAAAAACACATTTTTATACCCAAAATAACTATTCTACGTAGGTGAAGTCGCTGACATAGCTAGTTATAATTAAGAGTAACAGGAATACTTGTAACTTAAATTCTACAAACCGAGTGTTATTTTTTTTTCAGTTGCCATTCCGCCTGAACCTACAGTATTATGGTATCGAGACGACCAACCTGTTGATGAATCGCCTCGATGTCACCTCGGGAAAGAAGACCGAGGTGTCTTCTACTTAGATATCAAGAATTTAGAATTGATGGACCAAACCGAGTGGAAATGTGTCGCCATGAACGATTTTGGACACAGTGTTACATCGTGCTTTTTAAAACTTATAATTCCCAGGCACTTCAAAAAGCCAAGATTTCTCGAAAACCTTCAAGCCATTTTATCAGATGAAGGTGCTGTCAATTTAGAGTGCAAAGTCATAGGCGTACCGCAACCTGTATTAAAATGGTATAAGGATGGTGAAGAATTGAAGCCCGGAGACATACACAGAATAATATCAGGCCAAGATGGAACGTGCTGCCTTGGTACCTATACATGCGAGGCGCAGAATTGTATGGGTATTTCCGCTAGTTCAGCTTCTCTGTTAGGCTTTGAAGATACAGTTAAAGCTAAAAAGAAGAAATCTGACGATCAAGCATTACAAAGAAACTTATCATTGAGTACTATCCACGAAGAGAGGACTTCACAAATGTACGACACGCCTGTTGCCGATGTTACTTTAGATGATAAAGGAGAGATATCATTTTCTTTCGATGGTAAAGAAGTTTCCGTTTCCTTGTATGAAACTCCAGATTTAACTGAAGAAGAAGCGTTGCAAATAGTTGAAATGTATGCTGATCAACTGTCTGAAAATGTTACGGAACATAACGTCATTGAATTACCTCCGTTAAGATTTGTTAAAGAGACATCTACGTCCGGAAATCTTCTTATGGAAGCTATTATTATTGACGTATCGCCAGATTATTTTGTGTCTCCAGAAGAGGATTTAAGAACTGAAGCTGATATTGAAGACATATCTATAGCAGAAGAAATCGGACAGGCTCAACTATCATTTGATCAAGAAGTTAGTGTTGATTATATAGAGAAAACAATGGCTCTAATATCGGAAGAAAAATCTGACATTCCCAAAGTTCTTAGAAGGAAATCTGATTCACAAAAAAGTGGAGAAAACTATTTCAGTCTATCAAAAGATCAGTCTCTTTCTGAAGAAAAGAAAGATGACGATGATACTCAGGTATTATCAGAAAGTGTTAGTTTTGCTAGTGCCCAAAGTACTGGCAAACAGAAGTCAAAACCATCTCAAGACGATGAAGTTGGTACTCAAGAATCAGATGTTACAAAGACAGTTTTATTAAGAGAAGAACAGCGAACTACTTTAGATACAGAAATTAAACTGATAAGTAAAACAAACGTTACTAATCAAGAAGAAAAGCATAATATTGATCCCGTTGTCATTAAAAACGTAAATGAAGATCTGACCTACATAAGCTCTGTGCTGTCGAAAGTAATGAATGACATTCAAGTTATGGAGAGAGATATTATCTTAAAGTCGCAGCTAATGTCTACAGCTGCCGTAGCGGCTAAAAGTTTAGAAATAATAACCAGTATAATAAAACCATTAAATGACATTCACAGTATCACTGACGCTGTTAAGGAAACTATTAACGAGGCATCAGAACTTAATCCCGTGTTATTTACTAAATTACCAATTTTCTTAAAAGAGCTTCAAATTGCTTTGGCAATGGTTGAAAAATGTATAGACGTGGGTAGTGATAAAACGCTTATTAAGAATACGTGTATATCAGTAATTAATAACTGCGAAGAAGACGTTACAAAGCTTGTAACGAAAATAAAAGACTTTGCACTTGTAAATAAATTGTACTTGAATTCCGAATTAGTTGCAGAGGTACAATCGTTAAGCAGCGATATCCTAAACGTAATTGAAATATCTAGATCAACAGTGGCTACAAAATCTATTTTAATTGAAGATATCAAAAACGAAGAAGTGTCGATCGATAAACAGCATTTAAATAGAACACAAAAAGCAGTGTACAATTTAAAAATACCTTTGACGTCATTGTTAAATATCGTCGAAAACGCTTTGAAGGTCAATTTTGATACGGTCTTAGATATAAATAACGCTGAAGTGATTTTATTTAACATGTCATCATCTATACAGGACCTCCAAACAGCTTTAGAACACATTGAATTTCTATCCGTTGAGGAATCGAATTCGCCTTTACAAAAATATAACACAAATGTGATTGAAACCGTTATGGGTTCTGTATTAAAACTCAGAAATTCGTTTGAAAATCTTTCCGTGGAGAAAGAGAAAAGAGAAGATAAAGAACAATTAAACAACGTTCTACAAATGATATCAGTAAATCTAAATAAAATTTCGTCTGATATCAAAAACATTGAGGGCCCTATTGGTGCCTTTGATATTTTATATGAAGACAACAAATTGGAAATTCTACAAAGAATGGCACATATACTTATATCACTCGAAAATAGTTTACCAATCTTAATAGGTTTACCAAACATACAAAGTACCTTATCAGCATTTCATAAAAATCTTACCAAAGCTTTAGAGAATACAATAGAAAGTAATGACATGAATAAATATTCAACTTTAGTTAGTATATGTGATGTAGTAAATAGAATAAATGAGTCTATTAAAAATGTACAATGTAGTCAAAACCTATCTTTAGCATGTATAGGAAGCAACTTTAGTATCATTGAGGAAATTCTCAAAAATAAGAGTATTGATTACGTCTCAGATCAAGACCTACTGACAAATGCCAGGCAATATTGTATCGATATACAGAGCATAATTACTTACACGGATGATGAGAGTATAAAAATTGAATCTGAACGCGTTGAAGACATAACTTCCACTAGTCCCTTCTTCCCTGAATCTAAAGCTAATGTAGTATTACATCAAATAGATCACGTAATATCTGTAATTAATAACATCTCATTAGAAGAAACTGCTTCAAGCATAAGTGCCATTATTCCAGTATTACAAAAATCTTGTCCTATCCTGGAAGAGCTCAAATACAGCGTAGCAGCTTTAACACAGAATGCAAAGGAATATGAATCATCGTTGTCTGAAATATCCGATTTTTCCGCCGCCGAATCCTTTGGGAAGTCTTTGCAGGAATTACACGAAAACATTACGACTCTCAACCAAGTGCTACTAGAATCCATGGAAGATATTAAGATTAAAGAGGATATATCCAATGTATTTGCCAAACCTATTCACGAATTACACACAACTCTGCAAATATTACAAGAAAATATTTTATCTCAATGCGAATTATATTCACCCGTGCATTTAAGTAACAAAGTAGCAACCACGGAACTTGTTCTTCAGAATTGTATTTTGTTAGTAAAAGAAGAAAATGAAATAGAACCTATCGAGGAATTATCTACTCTGGAAGATATATCTTGCATTAAGACAACGGCTGAATCTATTTTAGCGGATGAGTTACTATTACCAATAACTGACGAAGCATTTGTTGAACAAGCACCTCCTTTAATAGAAATAAAAAGTCAAAAACCAGAAATTGCTCATGTATTCCAATTGTTGCATAATGACATTATAGATATACAAAAGTTAGACATACTTGAAACATTAAATATACTATCTGAAGTTAAAGAATATGCAAATCTGAAATCTGCCACGGAAACAATTGTAGAATTGCAAAACAAAATTATTGGAATTCTATCGCCTCTCCTTATGGAATCTTTAACATCTGTGTCCAATTTAGATATTGTTAGTAATGATATAGTCACGATCTCTAACTCGTTATTGAGATTGAAAAATCATTTGTGCGTTATAGATATGAATAACATTCCTATTTATGAAGATGTTTTACAGCTCCCATCTGAAGAAATTTATATTATTGTTAAAAAGATCAATAATTTGAAAAACCATTTAGATGAATGTCTTACAGCGATACATGATATAAAAGAAATTCCCGAACTAGATAAACAGTTGGATGCTTTAAGAAGACAATGCAGAGAATTAAAGACAATTGTTACAGAACCATTGAATGTAGATTTATCGTTCGAAAGTATACAATGCTTGAATAAATCCGTTGACATTTTTTTACAAGCTACAGAATCATTAGCAAACAATGATACAGTACAAAACGTAGGCGGACAGCTTTTGAAAGACATTCTTATTGTGCAAGATGAGCTTGTAGACTACGTTAGTGTAAAAGAAAACATAGAAGAAAATTTAGTTGTGAATACAATTAATAATATAACTGTCAATTTGGCTGCATTAGAGCAATATAATATACATATATATGATACTTTAGACATAAACATAGAAACAAAGTTTGATATAAATGCCGAATATGACAATCTTATTCATATGAAACATCTAATTGATGAAAGTGAAATAGTGGTTATAAAAGAACTAACACAAAAATCCGAATCGGCGGATATGATTATTGTAGAAGATTTTTTTAAGAAAATTAAGAGTAATTTCCATAATTTACAAGTTCTTCTCCATCAAAATCCGAGCCACAAGAAAGTCATCCGTATACTGCAGGAGTATTTTGCTCTGCAAGCCAATATTAATGACTTTAAAACGGAAATGGTGACATTAAACATAACTCAAAATATACAACAAAGTTTGAATAACTTTTTCTCCCAAACCGATAATAGTTTAGAAAAAATTAAGATATCTTTATTAAAACTGACTTCTTCGTTGTCAAACACGTTGTTTAAAAAGCCCCTAGAAAAACTTGAATACAGTATGGTTCAGCTTCCCGAATGTCTAAAATTAGATCACTTGCTACATCTGCACGGTTTAGTTCAAAATTTTGTTTTAATTTTAAACATAGCATTTCCCCATCTTGAAAATTTAGAAAACGTTGTTAATAAAGAACTTCAAATGTCCCTTTTCATCAACTCGGAATCAGAAGATAATTTAATAATTGAAGCCATAGACAATTTTATATCGTTTTTGGAGCAAGAAACTAGTGTTAGTGACAATGCTGAGCGGAAGCTATTTCTGATTAAAATGCTGACTTGTTCTCAAAACCACCAAAATTATAAAATTGCTTTAGGCACTGGAAAGAAAATGATTATAATGAAATACTTGGCTGATTGTTCTGACTTACTACAACATCATCTTGAAGATATTGATAAAACTTTGGCAACGAAACAAAAATCATTACAAACTATTCTTAATGAACAAATAAGGCTACTTCATATTTTACATGGTGAAGTAATACACCTTAAAGAACAGCCCGAACGCTCAAAACAAGAAATTGCAGCTATTGAATCATGTGTGGAAAGTATCATTCGTCTTAATAAATCAATTCAGGATTGTTCGAACTCTGAAAAGATCCAATCAGCGCATCAAAATATCTCTCTTCTCAAAGACATAATTTGTCAAACGAATACAATTCAAGATAGCTTAGACTCTCTAAAGTGTTCAACGAAAGATATATCTTCTATTTCATCATGTTTGGATGACATTAAAAATGTTGTATACAGCATTTCACCTGTTGAACACAAATTATCTAAACGTAAGCTAAATAACAACCACGTATCTTTTTTTTTTCATATAATAATATTATGAATTGCGTACTTTACTATGTTTATTTTTTTTTCAGAGGAAGCCAATGTTCTTCTTCAGCATGTAGAGCAATATATAGAAGTCACTGAAATTATAGAAGAAATATCTGCAGTACTAAACTTAGGTAATGTACAGGAAGCAAAAATCGTTGCAGAAGAATTACGTGAAAGTATTGCAAAGGCTGAAGTCATTCCGGAAAATGAGGAATATATTGAATATCACCTAGTAACAGAACATCAAGAAAACTTAGCCCAACGTTTACAAAAGTCCCTTACAGATATCCAAGAACAAGCTATAGAAAATATTTAATTTCATGCAATGAAAATGTGAAACATCACATTTTAGAAGTAATAACACAATTAAAAGATGATTTAAATACTATTACTAGTGTAGAAATTAATGAAGTTGAATTTACGGACGAAAGCAAAATGGTTAAAAGTAAGGTTGATGTAGGACAAGGCAATAAAAAACCACAAGATCTTCCCGAATTAGAAACAAATAGTGTTATAAACTATGATGCTAATTCTTTAGGTCTGGATGGTGAATATAATAACAATGAAGTACAAAGTAAGGAAATGAATTCAAAAATTTCTTATGAAGAATGTCAGAACTTTTCTACAACTTCGTTTGAAGGTAGTAACGCCGATGAAGTCGTGCACCAATTAGAAAACACAATACTATCTATTACAAATATCTCAGCTGAAGAAATTCCGACAGGTATACCCAGTCTTTATCCAACGTTAGAAAGCATTTGCCCTATATTGGAAGATCTAAAACTTAGCATAGCGTCGTTAAACCAAAACTCACAAGACAGTGAATTAAACTTGTCCGATATATCTGAAAATTCTGTGGAACTGATCTTCGGTAAACCACTACACGACCTTGAAGAACACGTCAGTGTATTGAATCATATATTATTTGAGTCCGTTAAAGACCATTCAGGACTTGAAGATGTGCAACGATTAGGTATACTTGTTAAGCCACTTCATGAATTGCATACTACTTATCAAATTCTGCAAGAAAACGTAATATCGCAATACGAAAGTCTTTCAACATTACATGGCGATAATAATATTGCTTCGATCAAAGAAATCCTACAAAGTTGTGTATTATTAGTTGAAGAGCAGCATGGATTGGAAGTTGTTGATGATATTTCGACTTTAGAAGATATCTCATGTATAAAAACATCAGCTGATTCGGTATGTTCGGACGCGCTTCAACTTGCTGACGAACTACAAGTTGGACTCGAAGATAGTAGAGAAATAATTGAGCAGGATAAAAATGACGATTTAGCAAGTGGAACAACATCAATACAAGCCGGTGATATTATTAAAAATATAGAGGCTAGTATTGAAACAAAAGAAGATTTACGAAATAGTAGTTTTGAAGTTTGTGATGCTGAAACAATGTTTATGGAACCGCCAATAAGTAGTGCATTGCCCTGTGATATTACAACTGCCGATGTAGTTCTAACGCCAGAAATGGAAATTAATAATATTGTCCATGAACAAATAACTGATATCCAAATAGACTTAACTCAACAACCTGAAGAGAAAATGCAAATGTGTGATAACAGAGTGGAATTAGAAGATTCTTTAAAGTGTGAAATTAAAAATGATACTAATGAAAGTTTAGAAAATAACAATTTGCATGAAACCAATACAAAGATCTTATCTGAAAAGAGTAGTGCTGATCAGTGTAACGTGGATCTTAATAAAGAAGAAATTGAAACAAAGGTTAAAACAAAGCAACCAAGTAAAGTTGCCGAACCCGTAGAAACTTTTGACGAAATGCATACTAATGATGGTTTAAATATAGTATCAGATATGCCAGAGGCTATTCAATGTGAGATGGATGACGAGATAGAAAAAGAAGCCACAATAAACGTACAGAAATTGCAAGCAAGTGGTGATATCATATAAAAAAAAAAAAAGAAGCCGAAAGCGCAAATGACATTCAAGAAAGTATGATTGATTTTTCGTCTACTAAAAGTGATTTAGAGCAGAATATAAATAATGCTAACAATAATAGAGCTGATAACGAGAAAGGACAAGAAACTAAGTCAAAGATACAAGAAGAATCCATTTCAGAAAGTAACTTAAGAATTCAGTCTAGTAATGATAAATCTGATCAAAATATTGCTGATGTGGATATTGAATCAGCACTTAGTAATGAACCAAGTATTCCTAGTGATCCAACAGATGCGAATTTGCCTTCTCAATTAGATAACAATACCGAAGCTATTAGTAATATTAAAAAAGAAATTGTTGCCTTAGACCAACGCGATGAAAGTATAAAGAACAACCAAAAAGACATAATTTCCTCAACAGAATCAGGTGAAGTATACATTTATATTTCATTTAATGGATTATTTGCTTTTTTATTCAAATTCTTACTTATATTAGTGTTGACTTTTTACAGAAACTGTTGAAGACATGAAACCCATAGAAGTTATTATAAATATGAAAACATTGATGTCTGAACTTCAAGAAAATGTGATGCATGCAACTATTAACATAATTGATAATTCAGACATTATACACAATATTTTAGATGAATTTCAAGTTCAAATAATCAAATTAAAAAGTGTAAGTCAAAGTAGTGATAATGTTGCTGAGATATTAAATGATCTAGAATGCAGTACAAGAAGTGTTCAACTTCTTGTAAGTGAAAACAGCCCTCTCCAACACATAATGGAGACTACCGCTACCTTAGAAGTATTAGTTGACAGTATTAAAGATGATTTTGAAAATTACCATTTAGTTCCACATAATTCAAGTAAAGACAACACTGTAACAAGAGAGGAGTGCGTGGATGAGACGAACAATACCTTGATGTTGTTAGAAAAGGTTTCAAAATCCAGTCATAATCACCATCACATTGAAAATATAATAAATGAGCTGAATTGTGTAAAGGGCCTTATAATTGGTATTAAACAATGTTTTAACTTAAATGAAGAGACTATTATAGAAAAAGGTATTGATTTAATGCAAAACTTAGATATAGTTGAGCAAAAATTATTTACTATAGAAAATACCATAGAAAGTATATCTAAGGTAGATCCGACTACCCGTGATACTATACTGACCGCCGTGCATTCCGTTTATGCTAACATTTCGAATATAAGAGGGACAATTACAAATATTCAAAGGCGGTATATGTATGAAAATTATGGGAAACCTTCAGAAATGATGCTGAAAGCTATTAAAAATATCAATATTTTACACAAATTGGACAAGAAAGACAATTGGAAACAGATAACCAAACATCTCCGAAATACACTCAATCATTTTGAAGACATTAAATTTTTTATAAATCTTGATAAAACAGCAAGAGTTCCAAGTGACGCATCGCTTACTAAAGTCGTTTTAAATGAGTTGAAATTGCTCACATCAAGTGTGATGCTCAAAAATTTAGAAGAATTAAACATACCATTACAAAAAAAAATCAATTGCCTTGTACATGACATTGAACAGGAATTAAATAAATTTGATAATATAACAGTCCTAAATGTCAGTGAAAAAATTCCAATTTTTAAACAACTATCGTTGCATTTCATGAAATTATCTGACGTAATTGTAGAAGCGTATCAATTAAGGAAAGATGTATTATTGTCAGATCGACACGGAGTTCCAAACGAAAATAAAATAAATGACTCTGTACAAGAAGTACAATTTTCCGAAGCGGAAGCATTAAGTACAAAAAAAATATCTGAACCTGGAACAATTGTCGAAAGTATTATAGAACCCCCTAAAATTTCCAAACCAACAGTTTCTGACAGAAGTAAAAATAACAACCTACCCGACGATATTTTCGTTTTAGACAAAAGTGATCTTAGTGATAAAAATATTTTTAAAGAAAATTTGCAGCTCATTATTGAAGCTTTGTTGGAAGAAGCAATAAGTAAAGTACATTTGATTGAATGTAATACGTCTGAAACAGATTTAACTGTGCAAGAACATCATAAAGAAGATACTTCGAATTGCGATTTACCAAATAAAGATATGTTTGACGAAAATTTCAAAAAAATTCAGGAACAACTTCTAGATTCGCCCAAAATTGAAACTGAAACATTACGTAACGCGACTGAAAGTATAAAAACGTTACTACCAGAAGAGGAGGTAAATGCTAAGAAATTAGAAATTGATGGTTTGACCGATCAATCAAAAACAGACGAAAATATAGAATCACTGAGTACTGAGCTTGAAGAAAACAGTACACGTTCGAAATTAAGTCTAGAAGAAATAGAAAAAAATAAAACTAATAACAAAGTCAATACAAAGGAAGCTATTATTATATCCCCAAATGCAAATGTAACAGATAACCTATTAAAGATTGTTCAAGAAGAACGTTCAGATGCACCTATTGAAACCGAAATATTACAAAACAAAGCAATGACTGCAAATATAGAAACGATAACTCCAGAAGAAGAGGTAAGTGCTAACAAATTAGCAATTGATAATTTGACCGATCAATCAAAAACAGAAATAAATATTAAGGAATCTATTTATACTGAGCTTAAAGAAAGCAGTACAAATGAAACCAATGATATAGAGAATATAAAGGACGCTCTTGTTGCAATCCCAGACGCAAATGAAAAAGATAATCAATTCAAGATAAATCAGGAAAAACTTTTAGATGCGCCGAACACTGAAACCGAAATATTACAAACCACGAATGCAAGTATAGAAACATTGATACTAGAAGAAGAGGAAAGTGACAACAAATTAGAAATTGCTGATTTGACCGATCAATCAAAAACAGAAAAAAATATTAAAGAATCACTTATTACTGAGTATGAAGAACACAGCACAAGTATAAAATTAAGTCAAAATGAAAAAGAAATTGATAAAACTAATGACATAGAGAATATAAAGGAAGTTATTGTTATAACCGCAGACTCAAATGAAACAGATAATCAATTCAAGATAATTCAGGAAGAACTTTCAGATGCGCCGAACATTGAAACCAAAATATTAGATACAAAGGCTGCGAGTATAGAAAAGTTAATACCAGAAGAAGAGGTAAGTGCCAACAAATTAGAAATAGCTGATTTGACCGATCAATCAAAAATAGAAACAAGAGTTAAAGAATCACTTAATACTGATCTTGACGAAAACAGCACATATTTAAAATTAAGTCTAGGAGAAACAGAAGTTGATAAAACCAATCACAAAGAGAATATAAAGGAAGCTATTGTTATAATCCCAGACGCAAATGAAACAGATAAGCAATGCAAGATAATTCAGGAAGAACTTTCACATGCGCCAAAAGCTGAAACCGAAATATTACATACCACAAATGCGAATATAGAAATGTTAATACCAGAAGAAGAGGTTAGTCCCAACAAATTAGAAATAGCTGATTTGTCCGATCAATCAAAAATAGAAACAAGTATTAAAGAATCACTTAATACTGATGTTGACAAGAACAGCACATATTCAAAATTGAGTCTAGGAGAAACAGAAGTCGATAAAACCAATGACAAAGAGAATATAAAGGAAGTTATTGTTATAACCGCAGACGCAAATGAAACAGATAATCAATGCAAGATAATTCAGGAAGAACTTTCAGATGCGCCAAAAGCTGAAACCGAAATATTACATACCACGAATGCGAGTATAGAAACGTTAAAACCAGAAGAAGAGGTAAGTCCCATCAAATTAGAAATTTCTGATTTAACCGATCAATCAAAAACAGAAAAAAATATTAAAGAATCACTTATTACTGAGTATGAAGAACACAGCACAAGTATAAAATTAAGTCAAGATGAAAAAGAAATTGATAAAACTAATGTCATAGACAATATAAAAGAAGCTATTGTTATTACCCCAGACACAAGTGACACAGATAATCAATGCAAGATAATTCAAAAACTATCAGATGCTCCAAAAATTGAAGCCGAAATATTATATACCACGAATGCGAGTATAGAAACGTTAATACCAGAAGAAGAGGTAAGTCCCAACAAATTAGAAATAGCTGATTTGTCCGATCAATCAAAAACAAATATTAAAAAAATGTTTAATACTGATCTTGAAGAAACCATCACAAGTTTAAAAGTAAATCCAGGAGAAATAGAAATTGATAAAACCAATGACAAAGAGAATATAAAGGAAGCTATTGTTATAATCCCAGATGCAAATGAAACAAACAATCAATGTAAGATAATTCAAGAACTTTCAGATGCACCAAAAATCGAAGCCGAAATATTACATAGCACTACTGCAACTAAAGAAACATTAATAGCAGAAGATTTTGACAGTAGTAACAAATCAGGAATTGCAGATATTCAAACAGATGAACCTGAGATTGAATTTGATAACAAAAACGTTAACTTAATATCTCGTGACACCGATAAACTGGAAAGTCTGTTTATTTGTACAGATCAAAAGCAACCCAAAGAAGAAACAATTGAAACAATACAAGACCATGATGGTAAAAAACATTTTGAAACAGACAATAAATATAAAGAAAGTTTAGAAAACCAAAATTTAAAAATAGAGAAGGACGAACCTAATCTTACATTATCATCCAGCTTAAATGAAAATGATATAATCAAGGAAAATATACCTCCTCCATCGTTAATACCTGAAGGAAAATCTCCTAAATCTGCTGGTGACGAATCGTTAGAATTTAGCACTCCGGAGAAAACAATTCAAAGTAATAAGACTAAACCTAATGAGGACATCGATAATGAAACCTCAAAAATGATTGAGTTTAAAGAACTATCTGAAACAACTGCTCTTGAAATAGGAAATAACAAAGGTGTTAAAATTCAGGATAATCTAATCGATGAGACAGAAAGAAGTACCCGTAAAAAATTTGAAAATAAAATTGTTGAGGTTAAATCTGAAAATCTCGATCACGTAGAAAATAAACATGATGATAACATTGTTTTAACCGTCGACAGTGCTTCTGATAGAAGCTCGAAGAATTTTGATAAACATTCCAATACTATCGAATCAGATAATGCATTAATTGAAACCTATGAATCTAAAAATAACGAAGAAGATAATAATTTGACTAAAACAACACATACGACGAATGAAAACGACAACACAATCGAGGATAAGAAAAAAGATACGGAAGAAATAGACAAAGATAAAGTAATTATAGAATCTGACAAAGATGTAAAAGATAATGGGGATCAAAAACAAGACCTTCAAAAATGTATCGATGTTGATTCGCAGGAGTTCTATGATGTTGAAGAAGTTTTACATACACAACAAGAGTCTGTCGAAATAAAATTTGATGAAACAACAAAATCTACAGATGCACAAGAAAAGGAGACAGTAATAATACATAAATCAGCCACAAACAAAGACTTAGATAACAGTTCTACTGATATCAAAAAAGATGTCTGCGAAAATGTGTTACATGAAAGTAATGTTTCTGATATTGCAGCAAATAATAAAACATTAAATAATCCTTCTTTAAATGTTGCAGAAGTTATATCTTCCAAAGACATAAACTCAGAAAGTTTACGTAACGATAGTGAAGATGAAAAAATAACAAAACCTAATTTACAAATATTACCGGATTTATTACCAAATAATCAAGAATCGTGTCTCAATAGTGATGGAGTAATCCAAGAAGAACAAACAAAGGAAAAAAATGAACATCAAAGTGACCTTTGCTCTAGAAATAAACTTACCGAGCTTGATGACGAAGTAATAGATAATAAATTAAAAAATAATGTTTTTGTTTATGATGAACAAAGAAATGAAACCGAATTTGGACTCTTATCAAATATTAAACACAATGAAACAGTCACTGATCCCAAGATAAAAGACGAAGTATCGAGGGCACAGGACGAAAAGCAGGAAGTATCTGTAGTAGGAAGTGACACGGTGCAAAATAACGTAGTGCCTAAGGTAAATGTAGTAGAGCAGGAAGCTAATGAAATAAAAAAGCAGACCGATGTTGATAAATTGGAAAATAATACTGGAAATACTGTTTTAAATGCAGAAAAGGACATAAATATAATGTCGTCTGCAGTAACATATGATCAGAATGCCCAATCGTTTGACATAGAAGGGCAGGAGATAGCAAACTTGAAGGCTAGAAAGCGATCAGTAAGTGGTGAGAAAAAAAAGAAACTGAAGTCAAAAGCGGGAAAAAGTTTAATAGTTGATGTGGAAAAGAATGCTGAACCCGATACAATTATAGAGTTTAAAGATAATGATGTGAAAAATAGCTCATTACGACACGATGATGTACAAATAACAGGCAAAGACGTACAATCTAACGATACGTTGCAAAAAACGCAAACGATTGGTATAAGCAGAAGTGTTGTCGAAGAAAGCGAAAAGAATAAATTATTTGCTGTGAAAATGGAAGACAAAGTTAGCGTTGACGCATGCATCAGCAACAAATCCATTAATGCTAGTGCATCTAAAGATGCATACAAGGAAGCAGAAATTCTTCATATAAGACGAAATGAAACCTACATTCCTAGAGAAAAACCACAAATTGTCGATCCAAATATATTTGATTCTGGCGCAGAGTTCTCACGTCCACCCGGATACATACCAAAATCCTATAACACGAGTAATACTTACACGCCAGAAATTAATTACAGTTCCACATCAAACGTTTTTTACAAAGCACAGAGCCTAGTTCGAGACCACCAGGCAAGATTTCCACCAGATGACTTATATGTATTAGATAAAGACAGGCAATTAGAAATTAGACAGAAAGCTAAAGCGGCAAGTGAATCCAGGAGCATCTATTCAGAGAAGCGAAGTTCAACACGAGATCTTAAAAGGAAGCCAGTATTTTCAACACATTTAACGAACAGAACAGCGGTTGAAGGGTCAAGGGTAAAACTGACATGTAGCGTGCTATCATCTACAGAATCAGTGATAAATTGGTACAAGAACGGAGTACTATTGGAAGACAAGCAAAAGTATAAAATAAAATTTTTAGACGGATTAATAACAATGGAACTACTAAATGCGCTGCCGATAGATTCTGGAGATTACAGTTGCACTGTGGAAAATGAGCACGGATCGATAACAACTTCAGCGAAATTAAAAGTGTATCCTAGCTTTGAGGCTACTCCGATACCGCCTACCTTCACACGGTCAATACGTGGTAAGTTGATATTTATTCTTTGTAAGGTAATAATTTTCTATTCTTTCGGTTTCGGAATTCGTGACGTGAGAAATAATGCAATGAAATAAAGGAAATCATTTTATTTATGAAGATGTGCCAATCGCTGCTTTGCCATATAATGTATTTCTACAGTAATCAAATGTATGTTATAGCGGCCTATTGCCCTCTATTCGTTTGTAGCAATAAAGGTAGAACTCAGGACGAATGTACCTTTCCAATGGTAAAACATTATTTTAAATCGACACGGTACTTTTTGAGTGTCTGTGATGATGTCAGAGACTTAATTGTTCATTATAAAATATTAGTGTAACTGTTTACAAAAACTCATTCTAAATCTTAAGCTAAAACTTTAGGATAATAATGCTCAATGAAAAGATGGGCAAATAATGTTTTGTTTTACATACGCTACCTACAGCTTTACCCAAACCAGTCAACCCTTTCAGATGTATACCACAGAGCTGAAAATGAGCTCGTAATGGAATGCCGCATACGAGGTCAACCGTTGCCAACAATAACGTGGCTGAAGGACAATAAATCTATCGCGTCCATGGAACGATATGAAGCGTCATATCTAGCAGACGGCTTATGTAGACTAACGGTCAGCGCCCCGACGGCAGACGACAGTGGCACTTTTACTTGCAAAGCTGAGAGTGCTATGTGGTCAGATCAGATTTCGCACGTGGTAAATTTCAGTGGTAAGTTCCTTGAATAAATATGTATGTACTCTTAATCTATATTATTCGGCTTATTTTCTCTAGAATTACTAGGGTTCACAATTATCAGTTGTTAGCCTGAGATCACCTCTATAGCTAAATGTTAATTCGTGATGCCTAGCATTGCGTATAGCACGAGATGTCCTGGGATGCTTTCAGTCAGGCAGGACAAAGAAGTCGGATCAACTATTGTAAAAGAACCAATCAGTGAAGCGGGCACAGAAATGTGTTCGCCTCATGTGGTTTTCGTTCTGTTCCATTTTCCCCAGTGGGGGGGACCATATTAAAACGTTAATTCTATTAAAATACAAATGCAAAAACGTTTTGCCCAATAATTTGGCTTTTATATATAAACGGTAATTTCCTAGTATTGGTTAATTTGTACTCCATGTAGTGGAATTCAAAAAATTAATCAAGCAATGTTTTTAATTCTTATCACAGGTGCGGAAAGTCGGATAAGTTGCCGTCTATCCAGTGTGGATAGACGACACGTCCACGACACACGCCGCCCTCACTTCACAAACGTTCTGAGCGACTACAAAGTTGTAAAGGGCGGCACCATCGGATTACAAGTAGAGATAGGAGGTGCACCCACCAGAGTAGAATGGTTGCGTGAAGGATCTTCCGTAACAGAGATTGATAAAAATGCGCAAACGTTTGTAGACCACGGTATCTATACGTTGGCTCTGACGGATGTAACCGAAAAACATTCGGGACTCTATACGTGCAGGGCGTGGAGTAATCATGGAAACGTGGATATGAACGCAGATATACTTGTGGTCCAGCCGAACGAAGTAGATGGGAAACCACCGGTCATTGTTAGCAGACCTGCAAAGGACTTATTGTTGTCAGTAGGCGAAGATATTAATATATCGTTTAGAGTGCAAGGAGAACCGAAGCCAAAAGGTAGACTATTATTCACTATTTTTAGTTTAATCGCATTTCAGATTGTAAATTTCTGAATCTTTAGCTTTGAGGTTATTTTTAGATAACTAACAATTTATAAACAAATAAATATAATATGTGTAAATATATAATTTACGTCCGTAAATTATATATATACACATATTATATGTCATCCGACAATATCTTTTTTTTTTCAGTATTTTTCATGAAAGGAATAAGAGATATAACGAATAGTCAGCGTGTTTGTAAAATGACGTCAGACGACTATGTGAAATTTACCCTGAAACGGTCGGTTATATCCGATGCTGGGACATACTGTATACTCGCAAGAAACGCTTATGGATGTGACAGAGCATTTGTGACAGTCGTTGTAAGTAATTGTCTGTATTTTACGCTAGTATTCAAGTTAAATGCAACCCCCCCCCGTGACCACGCCTGCTGCAAAGCTTATTCAAGAAGATTTGCAGCCGGCGTGCTGTTAAAATAAAAACATAAGTTCACTAATATATTTTGCGTTTTGAACCAATAAAATTGTTTCTTTGAATGGTTGAAAAACATAAAGACGGCGGCAGTTGTTTGTTTAATGTGTTAAATATAATTGGTAAATATAGTAGTAGTACATAGGAATAGTAAAGATAGGTTTAAATACTGTTTCCGTTTCAGCTTCTCACTGTTTTTGCAATTATGATGTTTTCTAGAAATCTTCGTCCAACGGTCCAATCTTCATATTTTGATAACCTCTTTTTAATATACGTGTAGTTTAATTTCAAATCTAGTTCTACCTTCTTCAAAGAGAATTTATAACCACCTTTCTCCTGTAGGTTCGACAGCGTGCTTCATCTGAGAACCTTATATCGGATTGGATTTATCCAATTGATGACTCAGCAATTCTCACAGCTGAGAGGAAGTATAAAAGTAAGCATATATATACCTGAAGAGTTTGTTCGTTTGTATGTTTGAACGCGCTAATCTCAGGAACTACTGGTTCGAATTGAAATATTCGACGGACGGAATCCGACGACGTTGTGGATAACATAAATGATTTACAAAGCTGAGAAGCTTGTTTGCGAAAATAAATAATATCATGGTCTACATAACGATTTTACAAACACGAAGTCGCGGGCACAGTTACTTACCTACTAAATACATACATACACATAATGTTTACATTTCCAAAAGCCCATACTTACCATCTTTTTCACCATGGTTATATAACTCTCACTGCAAACACATTTCTTTTATCTATATAAATGTTCTAGACCTGACTAAACTATATATTGTTAGGACTAGAACAATCAACTGTCTCTATATCAAATACAGTCTTAATTTCAATATACATTTATGTAACTGTACTGTAAAACCAATGCAGATGTTCCGTAGATAATCGGTACAATGTTTACAATATCATTAGCCTTCCTAATTCGTTTATCGCTGGCATCGTACCAGATTAACTTTAATATCACGACAGTAAATAATATTTGTTTTTAGCTGTGCCCGGACGCATCCCGGGCGAGCCGAGTGCAGTAGATGGCGGGAACAGCTGGGTGACCCTGGCTTGGCCCAAACCGGACCCTAACGAGGCCGCCCCAGTCCTCGCCTACAGAGTTGACTCGTGGCTCCTCGGAAAAGAGGGAGGCGCGCGGTGGCTCGAAATGGGCATCACGCCGCGAAACACTTTCGACGCGTTCAATTTGAAACAGGGGGAAGAGTACCATTTTAGAGTGACGCCGAGAAATCGGTACGGGTTCGGAGAACCGGTTCAAACCTCCAGCCCCATTGGCGTGGGTGTAGCGGGCGATCGTCCAGAATTCGTTGACATTCTTCCCGGTCTTTTAAAAGTGCTGGTCGGTGAAACGGCAAACCTGAGCTGCAGCTTCAAAGGAAAACCTACCCCGGAAATAGTTTGGATGAAGAATGGACACGAACTGGATGAAGCCAGCAGAATTAAAACAAAGCAGAGCGGCAACGCGTGTTCCTTGACCATAAAGAAGGTGGAGATCGAGGATGAAGGACGGTATAGCTGCGAAGCAACTAATGCGCATGGCCGCGCCTCCACTTACGCAAGGATGACTGTAATAACGGACAAACAGATTTGGGAGGCTGATGCCAAACTCAAGAGGTAATATTACTATGTAGACAGTTTTGCCTTATATATATTTGTTAAAAGTGAAACGATAGAACCGTTTAAATAATCTTAGATAATTACTTCGACCACAAAACGTTAAAGTTGATGTAATTGTAGCACTCATCCGATCTTTGTTCGTAATGGCCCTTGATTCTATATATTTTTTTTTAATTTTTAAGGTTAACTAGATTACTTTAATATTGTTTACATGTTATTGCACACGACGGCACTAGATAAATTAAAAATCGATTATAAATTGAAAAAAATACGACACGGGCAGGCCTTGAAGCGGCATTTACAGCGTCCCAGAGCAACAGCACGAATAAATAGTTAACTAGAAGTTCACAATTGAAATTCTAATTACAAACTTTCGGCTGCTGAGGACACAGTATTTCCGCTAGCCAACAAATATAATCCTTATTAGCAACGGGCACTGTCAGGTAAGGGTAACATTAACGTTTTACGCATATTCACAGAGAGAGATCGGCAGACGCGACTGGCGACTATCCGCCTCAGTTTACGATGCGTCTGCGAGATCGTCGCGTTCAAGCCACATATCCAGTACGGCTCACCTGCCAAGTTATCGGAAGCCCCACTCCGACTCTCACCTGGTTCAAAGACGGCCAAGAAATCGTTTTCGACTGTAAGTCCTCCTGAGTCTCCTAAGTCTGCTGATCCACGAACGGGAACATAACAAAGAAATCTAATGTCATTGTAAATATCTTTGAGACCTGTATGCATATACTACGAGCAATTATAATTTGTGTGTTCAATGTGTCCGGAGCGTTTTAAACACAGACAGTAAATTTTAACCATAACTAGTGAAACATTTTATATAAACCTTATTCATTTACTATGAGTAAAGGAGGGTTTTAAAAAGAAGTAAAATAATATCGCATATTTTGTTTAGACAGGTGTTTAAAAGAATTTTAATAATAACTATAGTAAAATTGTATAACATAGCATCGGGCAGAAATAGAGCAACGTCAATGATATAAATAATACGTTTGGCACAAACCCTGTTCGATCGTTCATAGCTTTGTTTTATTATTATCATATGTTAAAACGAATAGGAAGTAGAAACGATAAATAACGAAAGATCCACAACAAGTTAATATCTATTTTGATAGGCAACGTACAGCAGTTTTCAATATTTTTAAATTTTAATGGCTTCGAGACGATAGTATGTGATTTTTGGCAGTCCCTTGTTTGTCTTTCGGAAAAACTTATTTTTGATGATTGGAAACGTGGTCGTGACGTCATAAATGTCCCAACACCTAAAGCCGAAAAAACGTTATCACACAATTACCGCGTTTGTTTCCAGCCCGTAAAGTTCAATATCAAGACGAACATTTCCACACACTGGAAATAGCTCCGACCACACTAGACGACGGTGGCGTGTACGAAGCACTAGCAAGAAACAACAGCGGCGCTGTCAGCTGTCGTTGTTGTCTCGTCGTAGACAAGGGAATAAGGGCTTATGTCGCACCCGAGTTCTGCTGTGGACTAGAACCTCTATATAGGCTTAATGAAGGTAATTATCGTAGAACTATTCTTAGCAGACTATATAAACATACGAAGCATGCATACCCGGAAAGACCCGAAAAAAATATTTTGTCGGACAGGACTTGAAAATAAATTTCATTATAAAACACAAAAATGTTTTACCCTGTCAAACCAGTTTTCTAATCCACAGGTGAAGAACTCCGAATATCAGCAATTGTAGAGGCTTATCCATCTGTAGGGGTGACTTGGTATCGAGATGGGGTTAGACTACGACCCAGTCGTAAAGCCGTTATGACGTTAGACAGAGACGGGCAGATTGAATTAGCTCTAGCCTCGGTCACGACTAGAGACGCCGGGGTATACACATGTACAGCGTCCAACGAGGTCGGACAAGCTTCGACCTCTGGTAAAGTCGAGATCGTAACAGACAGGCGGGAGACAGATCAAAGGAAGTTACCGACAGTCATATGTTCCGATGTACCGTAAGTTTTACAAAGTTTTTTCCCTACATACTATCACATAGACTGCGATTTCTTATTAGCTTATTCAACTATTCATACGAAAGTTTTTTGATCAATTTGTTTTTAAGATGTTAGATATTATGACCACCAAAGTGGTTGAAGTGGGTTGATGAACTTCAACGATGATGCTGGCCACGGTAGCTCAATCGGATATAGCAGAACCATAGCGTGCTGCTATGGTTGCTGGCTCAAGTCTTGCCCGTGTCATAAAATTTGTTGAATCTTTATAGGCTTCTATTTGAGTGAAACTCTTATTGACGTTATTTCCTTATTTACTCACAATATATAGTATACGAAGAAAATACTATGCTTCGGGTTTTATTTTTATTTCAGATACTCTAAAGAGCCGATGTTTATAAAGAAGCCACGATCAACGGAAGCTTACGAGGGCGATACAGTTATAATCGAATGCGAAGTTATTGGCGATCCCACTCCTGATGTATACTGGCTTAGGGATTTCCTAAAGGTATCTTAAATCAGTTACTCTTTTGAGAAAGCAGTTTTTAACAATAACAATACGAGATGCAAGCTATGAACATTTAAAAGGGGTAGCGAAGTGTACTACGCCTTGAAGTTTAAACACGATTCAGTTTGTCTGTGGATTTCCCAATAATTCGAAACCAAAATAGGCCAACAGCGCATCTTCTTTACATGTTATATGGCTGGGGTATTTAACCTACCATCAAGTGAAACCCCGTGATTGTCTGTCCTCTATTATATAAAAGATATATTTGATTTATTGATTTCAGCCCGATTACTATCGCGACGCTATCCACTTCAAGCAAATGGCCGCAGGACCGTTGTATCGCTTCGAGATTCCTCACGCAAAGCTGGACTTCACAGGCGCATATTCTGTCGTCGCGCGAAACGTACACGGCGAAGCGAAAGCTATCATTTCTCTTCAAATATTTGCTAAAGGTAATTTCCCTAAATGTCCTATACAATATAGTGAAAAAATTGTGGGTTTCCGTTGTGTACGCTGCGATAACGGTTCAAAATAGCCAAAACATTATACTATCTATATTTATAATTTATTTATATAAAATAAAATATTAATGACAAATGCATGAATGTAGGGGAACAATACAAAAAGTATGCATAACTAACCAGATTTATTACTATTTTACAAGTAGTCAACTTTTTTAGATTAAGTGTAAATATATTGTTGTTTCTGAATAAACGTATTTCTATATGGTATATAACGGTGTGTGTCTTTGTAAAAGTTTCTGTCAGGGCACAAGAAGTACAACCTGACAGTAGAAACGAACACAAAAAAGTCACAAATTGTCTGCCCCCAGGCATTGGAATTCAAAAATTTTTATTGTCTATTTATACTTTTAGATCCGAAGTCGAGTGATGAAACACATAACATAAGATATGGGTAAGTGGCTGAGAGCTAAATAAAAACAACCCAAACACCCAATAATGATAATAATACTATTTATTTTAAGATATTACTTTTTTTCTACAAATAGATTAATAAAATGTACAAACCTAGCGTAAGGAACTTGTTACAAAAACTTGACGATAAAGGGAGTGGCGGCGAGTTTTTTGCCAGTTCTTCTCGTTCGTTATACACCCTTATTCTGAGAGTTGGTAGTGAATGTAGATTTTGAGTTTTTTAATTTTTAGGAGCTATGTAAATAGACTGTTCATAAAAAAAAACAGCCAGTGTGTAATTGGTAAGCAGCAGCACTGTTTTGGGTGCTGTTTTTAGGTCCCGTCCGTGTCATATATTATTTACATTTTAATAGATTCAAAATTTTTGTCACCCTATGTTTGACAAAGTATAATTGGATTTATTTTGAAAGATATGATTGTAAATTGTTTACATTTTATATACATATAACATTATGCCGTGCTATCCATTAAATGTAATGCCAATTTTGACTCAGTAGCTAGTCAAGTTAATGGCAACTTTGATATTTTTTAATTAAATGTTACGACACCGAAAAAGGCTCGATCTTTCAAGCAACCTTGTTTAACGGAACCGAATCGTAAAATTTCTTAAACATTTATTTTTAATTTTAGACGCGTCGAAGTTCTACCACGCTTCGAGAAGGATTTAACGGATCTACTGTGTTACGACGGAGATGCTGTCGAGTTTGAGTGTCGTGTAACGGGCAACCCAGAACCGGATATCCGCTGGTTCCATTATAATGAGGTATGATATAACCCGTTTTTACGATAGAGTAGGACAGACAACCATGGCGTTCACGTAAAGGTGAAATACCCCAGACTTAAAACATCTAAACAAGATGTGTTATCGACCTATTTCAGCTTTGAATATTTGGAAATCCAGACTGAATCTGAAACAGTTAAACTTTAAGGCTTTTTCATCTGTGGAAAGTGGTTTGTGACCCGCAGTTGCAACCATCCATTTAATATCCAGGGTATTTCACCTTCCATGAAGTGAACCACATGATTGTCTTTTAAATAAAACACTTTAACGGTTTAAAACGCGATATATTAGTTAAACTTATTTGAAAATGATTTTTAACTTCGCCCCGACGTTTCGGATGCTTTGCAGCAGCCGTGGTCACGGGTGTCTCCCCGTGACCACGGCTGCTTTTAAACCGTTTAAGTGTTTTATTTAAATGTGTACTACTCGCGTAAACTATAGACAGTATCACATGATTGTCTATCTTTTTCTATCCCAAAAATAACGTTTTTCTTCTCCAGTTAGAAATTAAGTACCCGGGATTCAAAACCACTTCTCTTGTTTAACGCATTTCTAAATATTTTTTCTTTAATCGTTTTCAGGTGCTACCGAATTGCCCAGATTTCGAGTCTACCTTTGACGTTGGCACTGCGCGTCTCAAGATCAAGCAAGTGGCTGCAGAAGATGAAGGGACATACACTTGTGAGGCGTCCAATAATCTCGGAAAAGCAACGTCCACAGCTTGCCTAGTTGTATATCGTAAGTTTGTCTATACTAATATATAAAGTGGAAAAGATTGTTTAAACGCACTAATCTTATGAACTACTGGTTCGAACATTTATCGAAAAGGCTATAGGCTATAAAACATTGCGCTGTGGCTTATAGGAGCGAAGATACAGGGATAATTATAAATTATTAACTTTGTACGATTATAATTAATTTGCATGTCGTGTCTGCATATATATAAGTTTAACTTTTAAGATTTTTTTGTACTATGCTATTTATACCACGTCTGTATATTAAAGCTTAGTTTTGTTGACCTTTCAAATAAAATAAAAAAAAAACTCTTTGTGGGTTTCCCATGCGTACGCTGCGATAACGGTTCAAGATACTAAAAACATATGTAAAGAATGATTAAATAATAAAAAAAATGTGTGAGACCGTATATGTCTAAGTATATTTTAAGCTTAACTTTCAGAAAAGACGGGACGCAACCGACGTCGTAGGTAACAGCTTAAATTTTTAAAGATGAAAAAGGTTTGCAAAAACAAATATTCTAAACGACTATTCTACTTGGACGAAGTCACTGACATAGCTAGTTGATTGACAAAACTATAAAACAGCATACACACACCAACTACGATAAAACAGATGGCGCTAGCGTAGCAGATTTGACTTTTTTATAGCCTATTTTTAATAAATACTTATTATTTTAATATTTTAAATTTTTATATATTACTTATAATTCAATATTTTAATAAATTACCACAAATTAGTTTAACATTAGGGCCACCCGCCATTTTCAGGCCCCGTGACCATGACTGTTTCAAACCATTAAACGTGATTTATTTAAATGGGTACTACTAGCTCAAAGTACAGACAAGACATTCTGATATTTAACATATATTGCGCGTTGATAAACGCTAAGTTTAAACTTATAAATATTTGCCTTTTTTTAGAAGTTTTTATGTCTTATAGCTCCAGGTGAACCAAATACATTAAGTCAAAGGCTGCAGCGGCCTCCTGCGCTTGCGTCAACCACTTCTACCCCACGGTCCACACCGCGTGCCACCCCATCTAGATCTGTGTCAAGGACGCCTGCGCCACGACCGGGTACTATTTAAGTCTACTCTATACTAATATTATAAAGCTGAAGAGATTAATCTGAGTTAGAATATTTATCGAGGAAGGTTTTCGGCTACATAAAAGGATGTGTCAATAGAAGTAAAGAAACATTGGCAAATGTAGAAATTTATTCATCTTTGCGCGATTCCATTGCTGCGAAAAGGATTCAAGGAACCAAAAATGTATAAGGTTTAAGGCTCAAAGATGTTTATTAACTCGTAAGAATTTACAATTCACTTAGAACGAGAAATACATTGTTTTATAAATAACTTTGGTGTGCCTCACTCAAGCTATTTTATATAAAACTAGGATTAGATAGGGGGATATAAAGGATTGATTCCTCTTTAAAAAACTGACAGCGACAGTATATGGTTATCTTTTTAATAGCAAGAATCGTTTTATGGTAATCAAATTTGGTCGAAACTAATGCATTATTACATTAGTTATATCAACGTAATTATATTAGTCTTGCAAATCAGCTAGTTGTTAGTCTGAGTACCTAAAGAAACATTAAATACTTGAAAACTATTTTTAATTTCCCTCTTCCTCTTAAAACAACAGCTCTGTACGTCCTACGCCTCAATCCGCCATCTTTGATCTGTCTTCCTCCGTCCCTCTCACACAATATATCCTTTCGCTCGTTCTAACATTTCATTCTACACGTTCTACATATATTTGTTATTTTATTTATACTAATATATTTAAGTAAAATATTTTAACGGTTTAATATGCGAAATATGTTAGTTAAACTTATTTGAATATCGCGTTTTAAACCGTTAGTGTTTTATTTAAATGTGAACTACTTGCGTAAACTGCAGTCAGTGTATACTAGTATAGATAAACAAATATTTATTCTATTAATATTTATTCATAGGTACAAGCAAGGAGACACCACGACTGAGAAGCCCTACCCGCGAGGTGGCTCCGAAGTTTTATACCTACCCCTTCAACAAAGTAGTAGAAGAGGGGGACAGTGTTATCTTGCAGTGCGGTGTGGGCGGGCTCCCGACACCCTGGGCAACGTGGGACAAGGACGGCATTATCATTACTCCCACATCAAGGATAAGGTAAGGAATATTACGATAATACTACTATTGCATGTTATATTTTTTAACTCAAACCATTTATTGCATACAAAATATGACTGACTATAAATTCCGATTTAAGTCTTACCCGTGTCGTATTTTTTTTCATATATTATAATCGCTTTTTAGTTTATGCTTTAAAATACTTTAATTAAATGATTTAATTATTGGAAAAATCTTTTAGGAACTTTTGATGTCCAAGAGTAAGCATTCCGTATAAAGTGAAGCCGCGTTTCCCCCACCGTGGGGCATGGGGCGAACACATTTCTGTGTCCGTTTTCTGTAACTCTTTTACAAACAAAATAGATCAGACCTCTCGTTTTTAACGTTTAACCATTTTGGTACAGAGGCAGTAGGTACGTAGATTATTTTTTAATGTTTTTTTTGTTAACATCTTATAATAGGTAATTTTGTTCCGTGTTTTAGCATAAAAGAAAAAGATGAAATGCTTAGGATACTGCAAATCGACGAAGTGACCGTGGACGATGTGGGCCTTTACCGAATCACCCTGGAGAATGACTATGGGCGGGCGGAGGCGTCAGCGCGCGTTGAAGTCATTTCGCAGAAGGGGAAGTTCTACGCGAGGTCCTGTAGTGGTTCCCCAGCTAGGGTATCCTATCGACGGAGGACACCATCCTTGACCAGACAAGACTGAACGATGGAGGTTGGAGACAGGTAAGATAAAAACAGCGACACGTTATCCTATAGCTTCTTCTATAAGGTAATAATTGCGAACATTCTAGAAATTTTATTAAACGTCTTTAAAACAAAGTCATTTATTCATATTGTGAGTAACTAAGTACACTTATGAACGTCACAAAACTAAATGTCTTACATTACATTGAATACCACTTCCCAAATCAATGGCGTAAAACGAACGAGAAGAACTGGCAATTAACTCGCCGTCACTCCTTTCATCGCCAATTGGCATTTTAGTCTTCAAGTTCACTACTATTTTTTTGGTTGTCAGAGCGGGTTCCTCCATACCCCGAGCATGTTTATCGTTTAAATATTATTCTGACGTACCTAATCTACAGAACATATACGATCTACTCTTTCTTCTCTTCTCTTCTATCAATTTATTCTTAAATATTGACTGCAGTTTACAATAACAGTTAGTTAAATAAAACACTTACGGCGAATTAATTTAGGAAACTTTTTTTTATTAAATTCAAATACGGAGCATTTTGCAGCATTTTGGTAATGTATACATTTCGCGTTTTAAACCGTTCAAAATGTTCTTCAAACTTTTGACGATCCTTAAAAAAGATATTAACAATCGTTGACTATTGACTTAATGTTAACTTTAACTGAAACTTACTTTAATTAAGACTGGTCAACTTGAGTAAGTCTCACACATCATGGTAAATTAGCTAAAAATCTATACTTACAATGAGTACACTCAGTCTAATTCCCTTGGCCTATATAACGATAGGATTAATCAGTATTTAGTAGGTAACAATAATTAACAAACATTTCGGAAGTAATTGTTTTGCAACCAAATTCGATACTTACCTAAATCCGAAATTAATTTTACGCTATCGAGAACTATTTGATTATGAATATCGTTTTCGGTACCCAATAATCCCTCCGCCATGTTTTTTTTTTTAAAATAGTTTTATAGCGACATAACTATAGATTTGTTGATATCTCAAACTACTTCTTCACTTAATACAGTGAGATGTAGTCATAAGCTATTTTAATTATATAAGATTTAATTTTATTTGTTTATTAGTTATAGCAATGCGATTGGGTTACCCTTTATTTAATTAAGTTTATTTATTTAAGATAACGCGTTTGCGAATTGTTACTTTTGCGAATTTGAAACAGGGTTTTCGGTACATTTAAATTTGACCCAAATTGACTTAAAAAAACACACTTTAACGGTTGAAAACGCGATATATGTTAGATAAACTTATATGAATATTATTTTAACTACGGCTCGAGGTTTTGGACGCTTTGCAGCAGCCGTGGTCACGGGGAGAGACGTCGCGCCGTAGATGAAATAGTTTTCAAATAAGTTTAACTAATATATTTCGAGTTTTAAATTATTTATCTGAAATTTGCATCAAATGCTTCGTTGGTTGTGCTTAATAAAATAATTGTCGTAGAGACTTGTGTGCAATATTTATGCTTGGATTAAAATTGATATTAAATATTGTGTTACTACGAGGGTATGAATATGGACTTTTTACTTTTACTAAATGTAATATGTACATTTATTCCAGGTGTATTAAGCGAAGCAAGGAGCGAACGTGAGTTAAATGATAGCATTTGTTGGGTTGGATTATGTGACGCGTTAAAATCGATTATAATTTATTATTTAATTTTTATCCCATTTTCAATATATAGATAAGTTTTAACGTCCTTTATATGGTTTTTCAATTCCAAAAGTTACTAGTTCTTGAGTTATTAATTTTGTTAGAGAACCTGAATTTGTGAAATAAACTATATTGCAAGTTGTGGATTTTTTATTGTCACTTTTGGAAAAAATAATTTCAATACAACGATATATTTTCAGAATATATTTTTATAACATTTATTTGAATATTTACAGGTTTATCTACACATTATTTACATATTTAATTTATTCCAAACTTGCTGTTTGCGACGCGAAGCTGTAAAAAAATAAAACCGTTATTAAAGAAATTAGTAATGTAAGTGCACATCGTCACCGTGGCTCAGTGGTAAAACATATCTAGCATTGCGTACAGCGTGAAAGGTCCTATGTTTAAATTCTGGGAAAAAATAATACACAGAAGTTGGACCATGTGTTTTAGTTCGCTCGATCGTGTGACACAAGCATACTTATTTAATTACTACTTTTTAGGTAAAACAATATTTACAGACATGCCTACAGAGGCATGTCTGTATATATTATATATATATATAGGCTATATTATATGTACAGACATATAAGGCTGCTAGAGTCAGAACAACAGACAACTAGTTGATGGTGTTCAGAGAGGAGTTTGTTTTTCCGAGATCCGAACTAGTAATGTTACCATTAAGCCACGTAGCGGACCCAATAAACAAAGAAGTAAATACTCACTTCGTATCGTTTCGGACCATTGTATGTGTTTATTGCTTGTTCTTTTGTACGCCGTTTCGCAACCGATGAGCGGCTATCACAACGTTACCAGCTCTCTGCGTGTAACAAAATGATCTTTTGATAAGGAAGAAGAAACACTTGTTCGCTTTGCTATAATTGCTGTCGAAACTTCCGACGATTACCGATGTCGTTGGTGAGTCGAAGATACGCGGAAACGCATTGCTTTCCTATAAATCTATTCTAATATGCTTAAGAGTTTGTTTGGACGCGCTAACCGTAGGAAGGCTTTAGGCTAGATAACATTAAGGTGCGACCAATAGGAGCGAAGAAACAGTGGTAAATGTGGTAAAAACAGGGAAAATTATTCATGCCTGATGGCTATGTTGCGTACGCTGCGAAAACGGTTCAAGGAAGCAAAAAAAAAATGGATGAATAAATGGTTATTTTTTAGATGGTCAAAAAAATGTACGTGGCAATATATGCCTATATATTATGATTATATGCAGACGCAGCTAGTCAGTGATAAAAGAATGACACTTAGAACTCGTGCGTTACACTTGCGTACTTATAAAAGTAAAATTGGAATATAGATAATAGGTATAAGTGCGGCCAAATTGACTATTCTTGTTTAAAAAAATGTATCTTCATGAATAAACCTTGTGACTAAATGATTTCTACATATATACTAATATATAAAGCTGAAGAGTTTGTTTGTCTAATCTCAGGAACTACTGGTATGAATTACTGTAAAATTCTTCATGTGTTTGTTAGAACAATGCGCTGTGACTAATAGGAGCGATTTAAGATATCCAAAAAAATATGTGCGAAATAATAATATGTTTATCTTTTAAGATTAACTTGCAAGAACGACGAGACACGACCGACCATTTGAGTAGCAGCTTCAATTTATAAAGATGAAGAGGAGGTTTGCAAAAACAAATCTGAATGCCCAAAATAAGTATTCTACGCGGACGAAGTCGCTAACACAGCTAGTAATCTATAAAGCAAAAATTATCTTCCATTATGTCCACTAAACCCAAGTTCCAGTCGAGCTGTCAAAATTTTGTTAATCAGATCCATTCTTTAAGACTTGTGTCTCTTCGAAACGGCCGTCATAAATCTAATCTTACCTGCCATCTAAAGCGTTGGTTGGCAAGATAATCGCGCAAGTTGTCCCTGGTCCTCCTCATAGGATTGGAGGTGCTCGGGGGGCCCTCCTTCAGCCATGTGTGTTCGAGGGCTTGCGACGACGTCATCCTCGAAGCGGGGTTCGGCTGCAGCAGCTTGTTTATGAAATCTTTGGCTAAAGGCGAAATGTCCTTGAACGCTGGGTCCGTGTAATCGTATTGAGCTAGAGTCATTGCTGTCACCACCTCGCCCCATGTGGGCCCGTTGAAGGGCATCACTCCAGATAACCTGCAATAATATAAAAATTGTATACCACTTACAAAAAATAATTGAACACCATCCCACCATTAATCTAACAGCACCCAAGACCAAAAAAAAACTTCAATATTTTTCATGGTGGCACTATATAAACTAAAAATCGATTGTAAATTGGAAAAAAAGCATAGCAAACAGCATAGAACGCTGTGGATGCCGGTGCAAGTCGCGTCCGTGTCGGATGTTTTTTTTTGTCAATGTATAATCGATTTTTTTTTGTACTTCAACCAATAAAATGCATTAGTCTAATTTGAATGTGATACAATAAGGGAAAATAGTAAAAGCCAGAACCACACAGTAGTTGAAAGCAAGTTAATATATTTCACGTTTCAAACAGTTAAGAGTGTTTTAAATATTAGTGTACAGAAACAATTTTGTTAGGCAACGAAATGTAGAAGTAGTAAATTATAAGGGTTGGTGGTAATAGGTGAATAGTTTCATTGAAAATGATTAAGCAAAAGTTGCTTGAGAAAAATAAATTGATTGTCGGTTAAATGAAGTATTTGAAGGAAATAGAAGACGATGTCAATGAATAATGCGAACTTCTTCCTCTTTACACATCGACAGACAAGCTAAAGCAACTCTCCCTAAATACAATTTAATTTGAAGGGCTCGTGTAATGGTTATAATGGCTAATAATCAACGGGTCTTGGGTTCGCTCCCTACCGGGTCCAACGAGTTACTAACAAAATTATAATTTTTCCACAACATGTTGGACTTCGTCTGGAATATCGATATTTCATCCGGACCACGTCCGTCCACAGATAAAGCCGTTAAGCTTAATAGCGTTCCGGTTTAAGTCTGTGGACTTTAGACGAAGCCAAAATATCGAATCAAGTGTAGATGTGGTATTTCACCTACCATCAAGTGGACGCCATGCGTGTCTGTCATTATAAAAACGTACTCAATACAAAACCCTCCACCTGAACGATGTATTAGAAAAAACTTGCATTTCTGAATACTAACAGGAGAAATATTATAACACCGAAGCTCCACATATCTGAAGCAAGAGTCAGGGGTTCAAAGTTCAAAACCTCCGGCGCAACATACTCCCGCGTACCGTACATTGCCCGAACCACAGTGCGCTCGTAAAGAACACGGGCGAGGCCGAAATCAGCGAGCTTCACTAAACGCGTATTTGGACTATGGCAGATTATGTTCTCGGGTTTGATATCCATGTGAAGGATGTTGTGCCGGTGTATGTATTGCAGTGCTTCGCAAATTTGACGGACATAGACGACTACGTCTGTCTCTTTAATGTGGTCTTCTTGTACTAGCCTTTCGAATAATTCCCCACCCCACAGACTGAAATTAGAAAAAAATCACGCTAATATTTGTAACCCCGCGTTAACTAAGATCCCTTGCTACATTGCAAGCCGGTAGTGAATATAAAACGCAAGGCATTGTCTATAGTTTACACCAGTAGTACAAATTTAAATAAAACACTTTTAACGGTTTAAAACGCAAAATATATAATTAAACTAATTTTAATTTAATTTTACCACTTTCCGATGTCTTCCTCGTGCCAAGGCTACTGCAAAGCATCCCAAAAACGGGCCGTAGTTAAAATAAATGTAAAATTACTTAACTTACGTGTGTCAACTTCTAACCATAAAAAGTGTTTTATTTAAAGATAAGCCATCTTTATTAATAATTGACTATTATATTCCAGACATATATGACAATTTGTTAAGTCGTTTGAGAGTCAAAATATAAAACATCGATCATAATATGTTGGAATTAGAATAAATTTAACTAGTTCTTAACGCAACACTTAGATCAGTAAATTTTTATTAAATTTAATATATAGAAATGTCTAGCTGGTATTGTGGTACTTACAAATCCATAATCAATATGACGCTCTGCTTGTCAGTGAATGCCAAATGAACCTTCACAAGTTTTGGATGTTCTAAAGCCTTCAACAATTCATACTCCTTGACAGCCTTCTTCCTCCTCCTCTCCAATAAGGTTTTAATTTTCTTGGCCGCATAGTATTTACCCGCTATATTATCCCGTACTAGCACCACGAGTCCAAAAGCCCCACGGCCCAAATCGTTTCCTGTTTCAGTGAATAGCTGAGGATAATCCTCCATAGGAAGTATGGTTGCAGTTTGGGGACTCATTTCCACATCCTTGGTATTAGGTGCTGGTTATGGGAAAACCATTTTACGTCATTAATTTAAAAAAAAACCTATTTTTAGTTTTTAGATCACTAAAAATCTTACCTTTAAAAACAGCTGCGTTGGGGTCACGGGAACCTTTGACTGCCCGTATACTGAAGTAGATTACTCTTTCGAGGGGAGCCTCTTTTAACTTGAATTTCGATTTCGTAGCAATACCTGTTCCTGCTAATTCGTTGGAATCATGGAGTTCGATAATATAGTAGTAGTTATTTGCTTTTTTCCTGCAAAGAAAAGAAACATAAATTATAGATAAGTTCACCCATTTGAGTTTTGTTGGACGCACGCCTTGGCACTACACATACCATTCAAACTGAATCATTATTGTCTCTTCTATGGAGTTATTTGGCGAGATCCAATTTTTGTATTTCACATGCTGAATTGTAAGTTTACCGAACATCTTCGGTACGTTGGACTTTGCTTCCGCCCAGTAAATAGCATCGTCGCACCTTAGGAATGGTACATGAAGATTAAGCTATGATAAAATAACCATATCTATTATTTTTAATAAAGCAACTTACTGGCAATATGATATGTACATCATTATAAAGTTTTGATCGTCCTTAGAGGCATCCACATCTGGGACCTGGAAAAAGGAGGTGTTCAATAACACACAATTATGAAACATTTTTCGCATTAGCCATTAATATTATATATTTTATTCGCATTTAAATTAACAGCATTTGCGCAAGCGTTTATAGGAAAATAGTAAACACATTCGCATATATAATAATTCTTAAAATATACGTCAGTCACTTGAATAAAATATATCTTTTAAACTGCTCAGCTATACAACTTTGATACTTACAACTTGAAATTCTACAACTTCTCTTTTTGGAGTAGGATTTTTGCTATTTGTAGGACAATTTACGTGTAAAAATATACTCTTTTTTGGTTTACAGTCAACGGCTCTAACCGCGCTGGATTGTATTCCTGAAGGGCCTGCTTCTTCATCATCTGTTGTTGTTTTTACGTCAAGAGCCTTTGCATGCAATGCTGTAGAGCCCCTTTCATGATTAGTTGTTTCGTTAATTTCAGATATGTCTTGTAAAATCGATTTCCTAAGCTCGATGGATTGACATTCTTTCTCAGACAATGCTACTATTGGTAGTTCCTCTTTATGATAGCTTCTGTAGAACCCTTTTTTTCTATCTCTTAATTCAATGCCTTCGGCGATCTTTTTGGGTATTACATTTGGTAAAATTGTGAGAGTCGCTGCTGACGAACACATAGTATGTGATTTATTACCAGGTATGGCTTTGCATATTTCGCATAATACCGTTCCAGCCATATCGGGTTCGACTGACTTAATGAGCAATAAGAATTCCGTATTGTTACAAAAAACCTAGGAACAAAAATCCTCAATTAGTTACAGTAATATAAAAAACTCACTTATACTTTCATAAGAGACTTGTATTGACATACATTGAATTGATGACTAGTTCTCTCAACTTTGTAACGACCTACTTCCCAAATAGCGCAACAAAATTCTGGGTCGGCTACTTCAAATTGACACTTGAATATAACCGGGAACCCAACGTAGCAAGCGACGGAGTTTAGAGGTTCTATGACCGTTGCTTCGAATGAACATTCAGGTAAGGGAGCATCTGAAACGGTTACATTAAAATAATTTATGACAAAACTGAAACATTGTTGTCAACAAAGAGGAACAAATAATTAACTAAATGACTTACTACTTTGTACAACTTACGTTTAACGAATAGATCACAACTACAATAGTCTGATTGGCCAGTGAGTGAATTAGATATACTTAAACTATATGTGCCAGAATCTAACAAACTAACACGATAAAGTCTTAATGAAATATATCTATTATTGTAATACTGGACGTCCATGTTGGAAGTCAGTTGCAGTGTTCGTGAATCTTTTCTCCAAATGATATTTGTATTTATATCATAATCCACCTTACACAGCAATCTGACTTCCTCTCCCGAGTATGCCTCTATAAGTTTAGGAAATGCCTCATCGATGTATACGCTTGATTCAGACGCTAGTTGACAATAGGGATCACATCTAACGACATTCACACTTGCAAAACTTGATTCTATGCTCTGTTGAGTTTTTGCAACTATGTAATATATTCCCGAGTCAGTTTCTTGTGCTCGAAGAATAGCAAGAGTTATCGTTCGGTTATCGCTTAAGAATATCATGCGCTCATCTGATTCAATCACTTCATTATTTTTATACCATTCAACTGTGATTGCTTTTTCTTTTAACGTAGCCTCGAATTCTATAGTGCCGCCGACGACAACACAAACGTTGATAAGTTGGTTGAGGAAGCCAGATGTCCGTCTATTTGGCGCTTTGAGGTAAAGGACGCCGTCTTTTATGTTAGGCTGTGCAGGTTTGACAAAAAGTAAACCCTTTGTAATTGACTGAATGCGGATACTTCTAAACATAAAATTATAAACGCCATGATCATTGAGCTGTACACATTTTAATTCTAGACTGTGCGTCCTCTTCTTTTCATTAATCTTCGTGTCTATGCTGTTGCGAAGTCGTTTTCCGTTTCTGCTCCATGCGACCCTTACTTTATCTTCTGTGAAATTGGTAAGGACACATAGAAAAGTGACCGTACCTCTCTCTTCCACGATGACGTCTCGAAGGTGTTCCTCTACTTCAAATGGTTCGGAGTCCAATACTGCTGTGGCTTCCATATTTTGAAGTAATAACTCCTCTGAAAAATTAATGGAAGTTCAATAGGTGTCCAACCATGAAGAGTATGTGATTATTTAAAATTATTCTCAGGAGTATGATTTAAAAGTATTGAAGAATTTAATCTACACTAATATTATAAAGCTGAAGAGTTGGTTTCTATGCTTGAAAACGCTCATGTTAGAAAAATGTTTTTCGAACTAAAAAAATATTTTTGTGTTGGTTAAAGCATTTATCGAGGAACCCTTAGGCTATATGGGGAAAATTATTCATCTTCGAGAGTTTCCGTTGCGTGCGCTACGAAAACGATACAAAATGTCCAAAATATTTATGAAAGAAAGATTCCTCTTTAAATGATATACAAAAAGTCCGCGACAGTATGTCACTACTTCAAGGTTAAGTTGCAAGAACGTCGGAACGCCAACGACATGGAAGGTAATAGTTATAATTTATGAAGACGAGGAGGAGGTATGCAGAAACAAATCTTGACCAATATAACTATTATCTATATCGCTGGCGGAGCTAGTCATGTATAAAGTAAATACTAACATTATTTTTCTTAGTTCCGAAAGCATTACTGCAATGTGTGCGTGGCGTTCAACTCGTGAGTCACGCCTTAAATAGGGTCATACAAGGCAACGCACCGAGCAACACCAAAAACATAACTAACGACCTCCACACCCTATCTTCTTAGAGATTTTGTTATCTAGATTAATTATTTCAGTTTGTAATAAGAAATTACATTAGGCACTATGAAATGCAACTTACAAATAGCTAAACGAATAACCTTTTATAACTTGAAAAGAGAATACTATAATAATTGGAACTAACTATGGGAAACAAACTATCCTGTTTGAGGGAGTGAATTTGTATAATAATCTGCCTAGCAGCGTCCAAGGTGAGTTTTTTAAAAGAAAAAATGCGTCATATCTTAAAATGTTACCCTCTTTCATACTAGTTTTATATACAAGAGCCTGAGGAACACCAATACCATATTTAAAACAATTGTATTTCTCGTTTAGCAAGTTACAAATCACTTAAAATTGTAAAAATTCTTTCGAGTAAATAACTATATTACTAAATGTTTTTATTCTAATGTATCTATTTTGTAAATTAAATCAAATTTTTCAACTATATTTCGGTCATATAATGCTCTAGTCCAAACATATCTTTTCTCATCAAAATAGTACCTGTAACTTATATATTATCGCTGTTATTGTGTTGTATACATATGTATTGATATGTTAATAGTGACGTCTATTATCAAACGTCTCCAGCTAATAATGATTTGTTATTGTTTAAATTATATTATTTGATAAACATATAAATACAAAAAGCAGTCTTATAATAAGACAATAGAAAGTTCTGTATATTTTTTCTGTTTATTTGTTTCGTTCACTTTTTACGTTCATTTTTCGTACATTTTGTCTGAAAGATTGTTTATGCAATAATATGAATTGATAAATAAATTACTTAAACGCTGTTTTAAATAACAGTGAATCTTTAATAATAGGATATTTAAAGAATATTTGATATTGTTTCAGTTGAGCCGCATGGGCTTAAAACAGAATACGCGATTGGTTTTATTCCGTTCCAAACTAGGAGAAGAGAAATAAAAATACTGTGCATATCTAAACTACATACATGCAAAGCCTACTTTACCCTACTTGTAATGTCAATGTCTGTACACATTTGGATTGATTGCGATTTTTAAAGATTTTTTCGTACGTTTTTTAATTAGCTAATACTGCAAACGTTGTTTTGTTGTTTGCATATAATATGTTGATAAAAATCTAAGAAATAATTGGCAATAATTTTGACCAAATTGGATTATCATAAAAACGGTTCTTGCTAGTTAAAAGACATATAGCGTCGCGGACTTTTTCGGACAACCACATTTACAAAATGGCGGTTAGAATGACTGTCAAGTAGTTCAAAGACAACGTATTAGATTTCACATTTCAAACGAATATTACATTTAATATGGAGGTCGCGTTGGTTATACTTGAGGAAATAGTTAACCCGGTCATAAGTGAAATAGATAACGCCGTATTATTTTTATAATCCCGGTAGTGGTTCCCATCCACCGCCCATAACCACAACTGAAATTCTTAATAAGGTTAACTAATATTTTTCGCGATTTAAACCATTAAAAAGGTTTTATTTAAAAGCTCGTCATAAAATCAAACATTCCACATTTCAGTAGCAATTACTAAGCATGTCTCGGGGGTTATTGAAGGTCTGAAAGTTGTTTAATGGTTTCAAAACCTAATTTAAACTGACAATGTTTAAATGATTAATTCACAGAGCCAATTGATACACAAATTCGATGTATTATATTGTCAAGAACATTCCTAACCACACAAAGTAACGCAACTACTTGTACAGTATGTGAAATGCAGAGTAGAAAAAATAATTCCATATTTTTATTAATGGTAAAGAAAGACAAAAAAGCATGGGCTATCGTCCTATTTTAGGTTTTGGTTATTTTGAAAATCACAGACTGAAACGCGAATGAACATCGGTGGACCGTGGTTCGTGACCCAGGAAATTTTCGATACCCCCTCCCATTTAATCCAGATTTCCTGACGAGGTCGACAATATATAAATTAGTTACAGACATTTTATCTTAACAAAAAAATGAACTAAATCGCATTTGAAAAATATGAAATAACTTTTATTTTTATGTTTATTATGGGAAGCTAACCACCGGGTTTGCGCGAAGTGGATTCACGTACTTACTTCTAGATAAACATCTATCTACTTAATTCAAATACGCATTTAAGAATGCGAACTGCGACCATATAGGGCTTGTAGTATATCTAATTAATGGTTAGTATTCACTCGAATCGCGAACGCAAGACAGGACTTCGAATTAGTCAGGGCATTTGTTAAAGATCTTATCAAATGTGAAGGTAGATTTAAAAATTTTCGCAAGACACATAATTTCTATACGGCTATATGTATGTAATGTATCTATATCTATACTAATATATAAAGCTGAAGTTTTTGTTTGTTAGAACGCGCTAATCTCGAGAAATACTGGTTCAAATTAAAAATTGTTTTTGTGTTGATTAGCATGTTGCGTACGCTGCGAAAACGGTTCAAGGCGCCCAAAAAAATATGTATGAAAGAATTATTTCTCTTCATATAATCTAAAAAAAATATCCGCGACACTATATTATGTCTATCTTTTAAGATTAACTTGCAAGAACGACGAGCGGACCGACGTCGTCGTAACAGCTTAAATTTATAAAGATAAGGAGGTTTGCAAAAACAAATTTAGATGACCAAATAACTATTATACGCGGACGAAGTCGTTGACACAGCTAGTATTTATATAATTTATCTAAGTATAGTTAGTAAGTTATTTTAGTTCATAGTTTGTATTTTTTTTGTTTGCAATTTTAAACAATTGAAAAATAATAACATGTGAAAAATATTAAAGGTTAACTTTAAAATAAATTATTTGATTAAAATTTACACAAAGAAGACAAGTATACAATTAATACATAAATAGATTCTTTATTATTGTGCCCGATATTTGTATCTATAAGCGTTTTATACCTCAAATAAATCTAATACATCTATATTAAACTATCTCAAAATAATTGTAGGACGCAATCATTGAGTTACGCTAAAATGCGGCTTTAGTGAAAAAATTGTTTTGAGTGCTATTGTTTTGTACGTTGATTTTACTCATAAGATAAAGGACAGCTCTGAAGAATTTCATTTCATTTTCACTAAAGCAAAAACCTTGCATAAATAACTAATTAATTAGGTTAGATTTAATAGAGTTAGTATTTACTTTATAATGACAATAATGCACAAGAGGCCCTTAAATGTGCTATATAGGATTAGATATTATCAAATTGATATAAGAAGTACACATTTAAATAAAACACTTTTAACGGTTTAAAACGCGCAATGTCTACCGGTCATCTTCATTCTCCACGTGACCGCGGCTGCTGCAAAGCATCCAAATGTTCAGGCCGTATTTATAATATTTTTTAAATAAATTAACTAATACATCTCCGTTGAAAGTATCTTACTTTTGTTTATTTATTATAGTGAAGGACAGATAAGGTTGATGTTCAATCCATGGGATGTGAAAGGATTATTAGCTTTATATTAAAAGATATTTAGCTTTGGATATTTGGAAATCCACAGACAGAAACGAAAAGGCGATTAAAGTTTACGGTTTTTTCATCTATGATTGGTGGTTCAACACGTTTCAGAAAAAATAGATATTGAATGGCCAAGACATAAATATTACTTGGGTTACTTTCTAATTATCATTTAATATAAATTGTAATATGTAATGTAAAGAATTAATTTAAAACAGGAGTTTACTTAATCATATGTTCCTGTTTCCCCAGTACATGTTACAATTTAAGTATGAAATAAAGTTAAATCTAAGTTAAGTTACTTACGACTATTTCGACGTTTGTGTAAACCTTGACCCATTGTGGTTAGTAATTTGTTAAACCGCTACAAAGAAGACATTGTTTTAGTCACAATATAAAGCACAGTTATTTACAAACATGCAACACATCAATATACACAATACATTGAAAACGTAGGGATTTTCAATTCTCGAAATACGAAAATCATTTCCAAACATACCATCCTTTGTTCGAATTTTCTGAAAATACGTTTTCAATTTATATCCTCACTAGTAAGTTTATGTTAAAATTATTAACCAATTTTACGCACAGAATATTAAAATACATGGATATTATTCGCCATATTTTAAATTAGTAAAGAAGTAGATTGATCACGTGATATAGAAAAAGGCACAGGCGAAGTGAGTCGAATCTATGACCAACAGCCTTATCTCTAAACACGGCAATGCTATACTAAATTTAAGTTATATTGAATTTTTGACATACAATAACAATAAACATACAATAGTTAATCGTATTATGAGCTTAGTTAAAGGACAAATTTAATTTGATTATATCAATAACGAATATCCTCTTTACTATAAAATCAAGCTAAA